TCATTCGACATTCTTGCTTTACTGTTGCTGAGGCTGCTATACTTGTTGTTGCTGCTTACATTCCACAGTCCTTCTTCTTCTGATGCATTGTCTTTTCGGTGGCAGGTTGTGCCCTCATGGGAAGCCTTTAACAAACGACAGCCATCTTTCATGTGGCAGCTCAGGTATTCCGAAACAACCAAGCTTATTCTCGCTTCTGGGAGGGTGTCACCCTCATGAACAAGATGCGAGGACAGCCGGTACTCCATTGTATCTGGACAGTAGTTGGTAGTACCATTGCTCTGCCACTTGGTGTTCAGGTCACTGTTGCTGGTCCTTCTCCCTAAACCCTGAACCCTGAACCCTAAACCCTAAGTTCTTCTTGTTGCCGATGTTACTTGTGTTCTTCGCCGTTCTCCATAAGCCATGACCATCATTATCGTAAACTGCTATCCTCATTGGGCTAGCTACTCTGATTCTGCTGCACCGCTCCAAACCATAAATTGTCTTAAATCCCTCATTCCCAAACTTCAACCCCCCTGAACTCCTAAACCTCAAAAGCCTTCAAGCCTAAGTTACTTAACTCTTAACCACCACAGGACGGCTTGCAGAATCCGCTCTCGATCTCTTATGAACCCTTTATTGAGCCAGGATAGAAGCCTTGTAGAACCCTGAAGTGAACCCTTACAGTCACCCGTATAGTCTCCATTAACAGGGGGCCTTTTATCGCATCCCTTCTAGGAAGCTGTGAGAAACTTTCACCCTTGTAGTATCCCTTCAGGAACACCTTTTTGGAAGTCCTGGGAGGAGAGTGGTTCAACGTGTGCACGAGTCTTCTGGCCTTCTGCTCCGCTGAACCGGAGAAGACGGAGCAGGCAAGCCCCTGCTCGGAAGGCTTTAGCATTTAGGCTTCAGGGTTTGAGAGTTAAGGGTTAGGGCCGAGGTACCAAAGGTTCCATGTAACCAGAAGAGTTTTTCTGCGTAGAGTCTGGGGTTTGGCGTTTAGGCTTTTATGCAATCGGTCGGTGCAGGGTCGGGTTGAAATTCTTGAGGGTCCGAGTTTAGAGGTGTGGGGGCATGGGTTTTGGGGTCTTTAGGGTTCAGGGTCTGTTGGACCGCTGATGCTTGATTTTGGAGTTAGATTGAGGCTTTTTGTAACCCTAAGCCCTGGACCAAGGGTTTTTGAGCCAAAGTCCTTGAGCCTTAAACTTTCATGTTGGAACAAGTTTCTACCACCACGGTTCTTACAAGGCTGAAACTGAGTCAGGCTTGGAAATACCGGCTACGAGAAGAAGAGTCCTTGGAAGGGTGACTATAAGGGTTTGTTGCAAGATGAGGTGTAGCAGCAGGCCTTGGGAATTTCGGATATGACTCCCGACTCAAGTAACACTGCTTCTGGGCTCCCAGAACCTTAGCCTCTGATCCTTTGGCGGTAGGCTTGGGCTGGTCTTACGAGTCTTTCTTGGTGTCTCTTTACTTTGAAGCCCAACACCGCGGGCCCGAAGGCCTTCATACTCGAACCCCGAAGCCCAAAAAGGCTTGAAAGCCCAAGCACTGCACCGGTTTCCCCTTGACTGCAACTCAACGGCGATTTGGGTCCCCCCCAATTGCGACATCTTTCGTCCACAGTGCATGTTCTCCAGAGAAGGCCTTACAAGGGTTTTTGTCAACGTGCCGTTGACTATGCTATGGCTATGGCATGTACGAGATGCCCCGAGACCGAAACTCTGTCATACCCGAATTCCCTTCTTGCTGCCCTGGGACTCTGTATCTTCATCCTGTAACCGGGAGAAGGACAGGGTCAGAGGGTGAAGCATCCAATGTTGAGAGCCTCTCAGCTGCATCCCTCAACCACGGAACCGTCGAGAAAAGCAAGACACCCTGCATCTTGATCCCCAGGTCCGTAAGTCTTAAAACAAAAAGAAGCAGGTGGTGCTGTTCCAGGAGCTCTTGGTGAGGCTGATGAGTCTCCTGCACTGCTCCGCATTACAGCTCGTCTGCAAGCTGAAGGCGACTCCCACGGCATTTCGGGCTTTAAAGGCTCTAAAGTGTCGGAACAAACATCACTTAGTTGGGTCAGAGAGTGGTTTCTTGTGGAGCTGGGAAGGACAAGCGGCTGGAGCTCATCGACGTCTACGGAGTGGATGTGTCCAGCTTGCATCACATCCGCGATGCCTCCAACCGTTGCGACGTGCTCTGCCTGTGGCTCACGCGCCTCGTGCTCGAGAACCACCTCAAGCAGGTCTTGGTGGCCCCGGCGCCCATTCTCTCGAGATCCTTCCAGGCGCCTATGGGGGCTATGGCCTATGGGGGCAGCATTAGAAGGCTTCTAAGTAGGGGAGAATCTCGGTGTGGGATTCGGATAAGGATTCGTGTGACTCGCCCTCTTCGCAGGACTTGGGCAGGGGCAGGGTCAACCTGGCCGATCTGGTGAAGATTCGAGACATCCCTTTCCCTTTCCCGTATCTAGGCTCTTAGGACTTCAACTTTTTGGGTTTCTGTATTAGCTATAGTAAGGAGGCTACAAGTGTAACTTTTAGGAGGGGTTCAGAAGTCAGCCAAGGTATGCACAGCTCATTGCCAGCATGTTGGCGGTACACTCGATCATCACGAGCATGATCACGAGCCAGTTTGTGCATCCTTGGTACAGCGCCGGCTGTGTCACCTTCATTACCATGTCGGGCTTTTGGGCACTCTTCTACATCTGTGCGGAGATCGACCACCCCTTCGGAGATGATCCTAATGACCTTCCACTGACGGACCTACAGCACGACTGGAACGTTCGCCTGCTGGAGTTGCTGGACCCCAAGTCCCAGCGAGTGCCGGCCTTTACGGTTCACGCGCATGGCATGCACGCCGCGCGCTTCTCGATCACAAGTTACCTGGCTAAGTCGGAGATGGACTTGAAGAGCCGTCGGACCACGGCGCGTGACGTTGCCCATGCTCGCCACGCCAGCCCGGATATCTTCGACTCTTTGGACGATCTCATCACGCACCACCAGAGCATGGCAGGGGTTCCCCCGATGCTCAGACCCACTCCCTCGCAACAGAGTGTGAAGGCGGAGGCATCTGGCCCAAACGAGGAGGAGCTGGGGGAAGAGTCGCAGATTGGGACCATGAGACTTAGTAGCTGAGTGGATACTTTTTCACACTTTTTGGGATAATACTACCCAATATGAACCTAAAAGTGTACATTTTTTGGGGGCTTATGACCTCAACAACTTAGGAGAGAGTTTCGAGTCACCGAGTGGCCGTTGGGCCCTGCGATGGAGCGCCTGGAGACCTATCCCTCGCTTTAACCCGAACGCCGAACTCGTAACTTACCTTTGGTTAGTAGGGAATGGAAGAGTGGTAGTAATAGTAATAATAGTAATAATAGTAATACTAGTAATAATAGTAATAATAGTTAATAATAGTAATAATAGTAATAATAGTAATAATAGTAATAATGGTAATAATAGTAATAATAGTAATAATGGTAATAATAGTAATAATAGTAATAATAGTGATAATAGTAATAATAGTAATAATAGTAATAATAGTAATAATAGTAATAATAGTAATAGTAGTAATAATAGTAATAAGAGTCATAATAATAGTATCAATAGTAGTTTTAGTAGTTATAGTTTTCCATTGCGCCCCATTCCTCCATTCCCCTTACTAACCAAAGGTAAGGTAAAGGGAGGCCTAGGTACCTCCTGGTGCCGAGCCCATGGAGCGACATTCTTGGCTTGTTTTCAATATATTAGTATTAACTGCTGCTGCTATTTTTATTATTACTGTTACGTAGTAGTCATATTTGTATTATGATGACAGTTACTGTTGGCTCCACTGCTGCGTGTGCATGATGTACAGTGTTCAGAAGGCTGTGATCGAAACACCAACGGTCGCTGAGCTCGAATTAAGTGGCTGCCTCCGTGCACAACGGAGAGAAATAAGAGCTTCGTAGGTTTTCGAGCCGCAGAGCAGCCTTTCGCAGTTGACCCTCTGCTTTGTAGAAGAGGCGTGGAGCTTTCGTCGAAGCCTTGTCGATTAGAGGCGCGTGGGTTGCCAGTTGTGCCTCACGCATCATAACAGGTGACATGACCGACACGGTAGGTTGGTATACTCTGCCGCGCTGTGGCAGATCTGTTCGACGGTTTAGGGTGTAGGGTTCTGTCCATTTCAGGTTAGACTGAAGCAAAGGTCGACAGAGAGAGGCAGATTCCACTCGAAGAGTCCGGAATCCACGGCGGCTTACGGTCAGTGCAGTTGAGGTACACCTCTTTCAGATCTCTAGCAGCGTCGGAAAAAGGACCCATGTGCCCTGACTAGGAATGGGGACCTTGAATCCCTAATCCCCAACCCTGAAGCCTAAGCCCCAACACCCCAAACCCTAAACCATCTGTTAAGATCCCCTTTGACATCGGCACATGCATCGTGGTCTCGGGAGAAGTGGATTTCCGCAAGGCCAATCTGCATCCCACTACTGTTATAATTACTGTTGTTGCTGTTGTTGCTGTTGTTGTTGTTGTTGTTGGTATTATTGTTGTCATTGCGATGGTTGTTGTAGGTATCGTCATTGTCAATGCTATTGTTGTTGTTATATGGTACAATTACAAAGGTCGCCTTTAATTGTTGTGTTGATGACTGGCATTAGCATGAACGTTGTTGCTATCATTATCATTATCATTGTCATCATTATTGTTACCTGCTTCCATAAGTATCAGTATTCATTCTTAGTCTTTTTGTTCCTGCTCCCATTACTGTTAGTTATTGCCAATATTATTGCTGTCAACAGCCGCGCCTGTCTCCGCCGACTCTTGAGCAGTTTTCGATCACAGGGTAGCAGCGACGCATTAGCTGCAGCCAGTTCGCATGAACGTCTAGCGGCTAGCGTTGGCTTTCGACCAGTCAAACAGTGCACCTCAGTCGGGATCCGCAGGAGGGTATCCTTAGCCTCAGTTTTTGACTCAGCACTACCCAAAGACTTATGAACGGCAGAGGCATCTGTTAGCAGTTCCTTCTCTGTGCATTTAGCCATGTCGAGTCGGTTGGCTGCATCAGAACGCGGCTTCAATCTCTTCCGTTGATTTCAATTCGGGTTGAGAGATTGTCCGTTGTCAATTGTTCGTGATTTAGAACGACTGTTTGCCTGCTGTGAAAGGAGGGAAGTTTTCTGTGAAGGCACATTCGGCTGTGGGATTCACAGAGGATATCTTTGAGGGGCCGCTGCGAGAAGTACCTGCTGCCTTTGTGGCAGGCCTACTGGACAGCCTTGAAATCTTGCTGTTGCTATCAGTTGATGATTTAAATCCTGCATTCCCTTAAGGACCCTAAACTATGGGAATTATGGTATATTCCTTACTATGGGTAATGCAGGATTTGTATCATCAACCGTATTCAGGGTCTGAAAGATTGCACAGTGTCTTGTGATAGTCCCCTGTATCACATACCCCCAAGGAAAACCGACTGACTTGTAGCACGCTTGGCAAACTTCAAGCAAGCTTGAATCGTTCTGGCGGTTGCTGTCAACTTCCCGAAGGCAAAACCCTTTTCTCCAAATAGATCTGGGCGCCAAACCTCGACGTTTCCGGTCGGCGATTGAGGTGTCCGAAGAATGGGGGGTTTAGGGTTTAGGGAGGGTTTGTAAACCATTCTGTGTGGAATGCTTGCGCACGTAGATGGCAAGGACCCGAAAGTACACGAAGCTCAACTTCGAAACTGAAACCATAAGCACTGCACAGCACTCTCTTTCCCTAAACTCCCATATCCCAGCAGAACGTGGTGAGGTGAAGGCGAGTCGAACGGCTTCACCTACACCTCCAGCCGGTTCCCAAGAGCTTTGGTGGTCAAGGGTCATGATAAGGTACTCGAGGTACCGTAAGTGCTGCTGTTGGGGATTGTAAGGATTAGAATAAGGTACGGCCAGGTGGTACTGTAGGGGTTACCGTCAGAGTTGCTACAAGGGCCGCTGTAAGGATTGGTGTAGGGATTACTGCACAGGTCAAGGTTTGCAGTAAGGCTTGCTACAATGTATAGCTGCTACAAGGTTGCTACAATGGTTGCTAGAAGGTTTGATGTGCACTATTCTATTTATCATCCCTATTATCATTATCAGCAGTATCAGTATTCAATATTTTTATTGCGATTAGCATTTTTGTTATTAACGGTTCTTGAGGCACGGGCCTTCCTCGGGGTGTTACGGGTGTCAAAGTTGCGTGCCAGAACGCTAAGCCAAGTCCCAACCCCAAACCCCCGAGACCTCCAACATTAGCCGTTAGGCCTAAGTCCAATGAGCTTTCCTTGCTGAGGTGGTGGTGACTCCTTGGACGACACAGAATACGAGCTAGAAGGGAAGACCCTGACGTTCCAGGAGAAGCGAAGGCGGTGCTTGCCTGCTGCTTGCCTGCCTTTGGCCAACACCGCACACGTTTAAGCCCGAAATCTCAAGCATCTACTTCAAAAACTTAAAGTCTCGGAAGACTCCGAGGGGTTAAGGGGGAAATTAGGGTTGGCGAGCACCCATTACCCGTTGGTGGAGGGAGCCTCGATAATTACATTGCGGATAACCTGCGCAACCCTTGTAGTACCGTTTTACAGTACTCCTATAACCCCTTATTGACGCATAAAGCAAGCCTGTGGCTTTCCGCAGAATGCACCCTAAACCCTAAACCCCTAAACCCTGGCCCGATGTGGAGAAAGGGCCATTGCACATTAAAAAAAAAAAAACCCTGGCCCGTGAAAGCAGACTGCGCCGAGGTTTGCTGCAGCGGGGAGCGCGTGGCTCATTGCTGCTATGCCCCATGGCCCGGCTGTTCCGAGCTTTGTAGAGCTTTTGAGAGTTTACCATAGGGGCCTCAATACTATTTTGGGGGTTCCTTATGATAATTATAGTATAACATGCCCCAAAACCCTATTCTAAGAATTAATCGCTTCAGGCTTTTTCCGGTGCCTCGAAGGCCATCGATGATCAACACAACAGATTGCTATGACAACCTCCAGATTGTTGGTATTATTGCTGTCATCGTTGGCGCTATTTTTGCTGCTACCTTGCTAAACCATATTATCGTTATTTCCTCTTCTACTTGTCTTACGTTGTATTCTAACTCTTGATCTTCTTCGCCTCATGTCTTCTTTGATTCATTTTGCTTGTGCTTCTTCTTTACCCGTAGTGTTTCTGTGACTCCGATAGCTGTCATTAGTCATAGTTGTTGTTAACTTTATTTGCTCGCTAATTTTCCTGTTGTTCTTCTTGTCCATGGTCTTCTTACCCTTCTCTTTGCCATTCCTGCTGCTAACAGTGTTTCACCAGCATCGGTACTGCTATTCTTAAACATGCCCTCATGCTGCTGCAGCTACTCGTGCTGATGGAAACTCCTGCTGCTGACCCTCCTCCTCCTCCTCATCCTCCTCTTCCTAATACCCCAGTAGTATTACTACTACTGCCACCATTACTAGTACTGCCACTACTAGTACTACTACTGCCGCTACCGCTACCGCTACCGCAACCGCAACCGCTACCGCCACGGCTACGGCTGCTGCTACTGCTACTGCTACTGCTACTGCTGCTGCTACTGCTACTGCTACTCCTGCTTGCTTGCTACTACAACAATAGCAACTACTACTACCACTACTACTACCGCTACTACTACCACCACTGCTACTACTACCACCACTACTGCTGCCACTACTACTACTACTACTACTACTACTGCTACTACTACTACTACTTCTACTGCTGCTACTGCTACTACTACTACTACTACTACTGCTACTGCTACTGCTACTGCTACTACTTGTACTAACACTGCTACCACAACTACTACTAGTTACTACTAACTATGACCAACGTCTACTAGCTACTACTAACTACTACTGCCACTGCTACTGCCACTGCCACTCTCGATGCTACTGCTACTGATCTGCCACTGCCTCTGCTTCTGCTGCTTCTGCTGCTACGGTTGCTGCTACTAGCTGTACTCTTTTTCATGCTCTTCCTGGTGCGCCCATTACTGACAACAACATAAAACAGCAACGATACGAACAAGGACAAGTGTTGTCACACGCAGTAGGAAGCAAGAAGACTTTTGCGAAGAGGTAGTCATAGTAGCTGTGACCGCTGTGACCCCAACACTGAACACCACATCCAGAGCCCCCAGACACCGATCCCAGAGGTCTGCCAGTTTCTGCTCTTCTTGCTGCACATCTGCACATGGTGATTGGTATAAGCCTACACCCCTAAAGCCTAAACCCCTAAACCCCTAAACCCCTCTCAAACCAAAAAACTCCACAACTCCAAATCCTGCACACCCGAAGCCCAAGCGTGTCGGTGAGAGGAAGATTATGAAGCAAGGGTTCTTAAGTCCGATCACGTACCCAGCGTTTTGGGATTTTCTGACTATTCGTGAGATGCGATATCTTCTCACATGAAGTGTATATGTTCTTATGGAACTCCAACACCGTTAATAATCGAGCAGGTGAAAAACTTGAGACCAGGTTCCAACATCAAGCAACATTCTTGATCTCACTTGAAATCCTATCTGAGTGGAAAGCGATTCTATGATGTTCAGTATTTCCTTAGCGTTTTCCACCGGAAGCAATTTGACTCTATGTAGCATCGCTTCACTACAAAGGGGATGCTGTATATCTTTCATTGAAGAAAGACTTCCCCTGAACCGCAAACCACCTATTGCCACAGGGATGACTGTGCAGCATGCCATCCGCTGTTGTTCTTACGGCACTACGGTGCAGAGCTAGTCCTCAACCAGGCTTTTGTGATGTGCGTGAGAGGATGGTGATGAACACGTTGACGACGACAATGATGATGCTCATGCTTCTGGTCGTGTTTATCAGTATTAGTATGAGTATGACGACGATTGCCTACTCTACTTCTAGAGCAAATGTTTCTACTATTGCGAATGTTATCGTTACCGTTAGTTGTTTTTGCGGGTGTAGTGATTGTTGCCGCTGTTTCTGTGGTTGTGCCTATTACTGGTTGTTTTCATGAACATTATCAGTATAGCATAGTGGTGATCCTTGTCGTCATGTATTGCCAGAAGCACTGCCACTAGCATGTGTGCCATCATTGCCAGTGTCGACGTCATCATCGTTTCCATCGTCATTGCCAATATCCTGATTATCCCAAACCCAACAACCCAAAAGCCTGCAGACTCTAAACCTCATCCTAGACCCTATCCCTAAACCTAAACGCTAAAGCCGCAAAACTTAAACCCTAGACCCTGAACCGGTTCCTCTGATTCCAAGATGCTCAGGCTGGTGTTTCCTCTTTGGGCCAAATGGCTGCTGGTGAATCCCATGCCCAGGCGGCCCCTCGGTGGCGGCCAAAGCCATAGCTTCTTTAATCGCTTGGGAATGGGGCAAGCTCATTTAGGGGGTTTCGAGGGATTTTGCTTTAGATTTTTGGGCCGTATTATCACTTGAGCTATCTAGGGAAGGGTTTAGGGGCTCGTCGGGTATGAAAGAACTTTAAACTCTGAACAACCGTCAAGTTTTACGTCTCGGGCTTGGGGCTTCGGCTACAAGGCACGAGTCTCCGGGGCGTGGTTTTTATCTTCCCGGAGCCACCCCAAACCCCTAAACCCTAAACCCGAAACCCTAAACCCAACCATAAAGTCCGAGAAGGGTAGGCTGTCCTTCTAAGCGGGCTGTTTTGGAGTTGCATGGTGTCAGCTCAAGGCATAGAGCTTTTTCCCAGAGTGTTCACACGATTTCGATACCCGTTTGCTTACCCCCAACCTGCAACCCTGAACCCCAAAGCCCCCAAGCCATAAGCCCTGATCTGCAAGTTCCCGAAATCTCAGGTACTGGCACTCCAACTACGCACCCTTCCCGATGGTGCAGTATGATTTTGACAGCCAAGAAGTGCTGCTCGGACGTTTGAAAACGGGCTGTTTGCAGTGTTGTAGAGTGATCAATGAGGAGTTTTCCTGCACAGGGCTGTTTATTAGTTTCGCCTTGTGATCGTGTTTGCTGACATTGCAATATCACTGGTCAGATTAATGTTGAGATCATTAGCGATGATGTTTAATTAGGTTTAGCATGTAGTAGGTGTTTTGGACTCAGGGTTTCGGGCTGTTTCTTTGTCGGACAACACGTGCGATGTGAAGGGGCCCAATCCAAGAGTAAAAGCAGGGACCCTTAACAAGGACCCCCCTAGGTACATACCCTTAGTATAGCTAGTATATTCCCATTATATAGCCCACTATAGGGTAGGGGTCCCCATGAAGGGTCCCTCCTTTTCCCCTTTGGCCCAAGCAGCAAACGCTGCGCGCTCGGCGGTCCGCAACCCCACCATCCCTAAGCCCCGAGCACCCGAAAACGCCGAAGATTGAAGATCCATGCCTACCTCAATCCTATTCAAAACGGAACACTATACCCTAAACCCAAACCTTAAGCCCTGGCCGTGTCCTGGCCGTCGCGGCCTCTCGGGACCCTTCGCGGGCACTGGAGAAAAGGAGTTCAAAAAAAAAACCTTACCCCTAAACCCTAAGCCCACGAAACCTAGACCCAAGACCGACAGAGTTCGATGATCCCCTTGCGAGGCTGAACGAGCAGATGGACCCCAAGATACAAATGAGCGAGATCCCAGAGGATCCAGGCCGCCTGTGCTTTTCGGGGTTGGGCCTGGTCTGGGGTTCTGACGTCAGGTTTAGGGTTTAGGGTTTAGGGTTTAGGGTAAACCCTAAACCCTAAACCCTAATCCAGCCTTTTTACGGTGGAGAAGGTTTTTGTTACGGATCTCGGGGTTTCAGGTTTCAGGGTTCGGATTCAGGGGGATTTGTTGCAAGCGCGACGTACTCGCTTTGGTTTGGGAGCACGATGGCACCCACATAAGTTCAAATCAGGGCTTGGCAAGGACAGGGACCAGTGTTACCCTATGACCTGTGCTCCTGTAAACCCTAAACCCTAAACCCCAAACCCTAAACACTAAACCACCTAAACGTAGGTCTTTCGAGGACCACGCCTTGCGTGCTGTAGCAAGGTTCCATGATTGTTGAAAGTGGAAGGGAGTGCACTGCTTCTGCTCTTTCAACTGTTGGCTGCTGTTGTTGTGCTGCTACTGCCTTTCAAACTTGTTACTCATGTTGACGTCGTGTCTACTACTCTGAGTATTCCCCAGCATTGCACTGATCCGCCTTCGCCTTCTCGGCAATCGCCGTAGCAGGTTACAGGGTTCAGTGGCTGTGCCAGGACGATGCAACTACAGCTGCTCCGCCCAAGCCTTACTCCTGCAGCAGTTTCGTGTCCTAGACCCGGAAATCTACACCGTGAGACATATAACCCTGAAACCTTTGCTTTGGCTCTCGGGGCCTTTCCGTCAGTGTAAAGACTGATGCAGTGCTTTTGCCACTTGGAGCAGGGAAACGACAGGGTGAAACCAAAGCTTTTAGGGTTTAGGGTTTTAGGATTTATCATTCAAAGGTTTACCCCAATGTGTCGCATGCTTTGTAAGGCTTCGAGTCCTGCAGGTACCTAAACCCTACGCCCAACACCTTCCCTAAAACCTAAACGTTCGATCGCACCCGCTTAAGCCCACGGCACTACATGCAGCCACCAGAGCCCCAAGCCCACGGGATTTATGCCATGGAGCTGAGCCTTTGACTTAATCTCTCGTTTCTTGGGGTGTTGCAGGGTTTAGGGTTCCAGGTTCGTGGAGTTTAGGGCTAAACCCTAAGCCCTAAACCCTAAAGCTTCACTTGGAGGTTCATGGGTAGGTATAAGTGGGGTTATAAGTCCCCCTAATATGGGTTAGAAGTATAGTTACCCCACTTATAACCCTGCTTGTAACTACCCATGAACCTCCAAGCAGGAGTCAGCCTTGGGCTCGGGGTTTGGGGGTCCGGTGAGCTGCTCAGGAATGGCGGGGCTACCGTACCGAGGAGATGCGGCATCCTTACTTGGGGATTTCTCAGCACGGTTCATAAACGCGGGTTCGCCACTTGGGAACTGGGAACTAGTTTTCATTTTTGATGATAGTATAAGCCCAAAGGGGCATCACAGCTACGGGGCTTCTGGGATAAATCTTAAAGCCTAAACCACAGTTCTTGTGATGGGTATACCCAAGCTCCCTCAGCAGAACCGACACGATCTTCCCGGATCCTCAACCCTAAACCCTGAATCCCTAGCCTTAAAAAAACAAAAGAAGGACAAAGTGAGATGAAGCCTTAGGCGTGTACCCAACACCCCCGGCCGAATCTGAAATCGTAGGAAGACGAATTCCAAACATAAAAAAGCAATACAGCCCCGTACTACAGGCACCAAGCCCGAGATCCAACAACCTGAAGGGGTCCTTTCGACTGCTGCCAGTTACAACCCGAAACCGAGTCTTGTTGGGTGTCGTGTCGAGATACGATTATGGCAGTTCTGGTTGCTGGGGTTTAGGGTTTAGGTGGTTATCCCTTGCTGCATGGCACGTAGATTTTGCGAGACATGAAAAGTCAAGGATTCCGTCAACCTCTCTTGGTTAAACATGCAACTCAAAAGCAAAAGCACTGGACCAGAAACCGTAGTACTGTAGTAGACCCAGAACCTTGAACCCTCATCGATACGACTATGGCTGAATTCTGTGCAGTGGAAGGAGTTAGGATGTGGGAACCGGGATTTCTTAGCCGGTTTGGGTTAAGGGTCTACACATCACGGTTCGGGTCACTTTGAGGAGCATAGTCATGATAAGAAGGACTCCCAGAAAGAAACCTTTAACTTCAAGAAGCTTTCATGTAGGTTTGAAGACGAATGATCGTTCCGGTCAGAACCCTGTTCACAATTTCTGGTATCCGGTTTTGCAAGTTGGGATCAGGATGCCCTGAGATATTTTTTGAAGGTTTGGGTTGAGGGTGTGAGAGGTGGGAAGCCAGAAGAAGAATCTATGGACAGCAATGAAAATCAACGCCCAGACGAAGCACACAACGCTGGCAAGCAACATCTGAATAAGCAGCATTAAGCAGCAACCCCAGACCTCTCAAGCCACACCCTAAACCTCAACCGAAACCCTACACGCATCCTAGAACTTCCCCGGGAACAAGGAACTTCCGGGTCAGCGTCATGCTGAACGACTCGGCGCTCATGAAGGCCAGAACCCAAGGGAAAGCGGCAAGCAGGACAAACATCTCCTTCGACGTTTAGAGCCCCCTAAATCCTACGGAACCCTAAACACCACACCCGAAACCCTCAAAGCAGTGAGCCTGACACACCCTGAGCCTTTTCGGGGCTTGGACCTCCGAGATAAGCAGGACATGGAGAAGCAGAAGACTGGGTTGTCCAGGGCCTGAATACTTACGAGTTTGGTTTTAATTCCTTACCAGGAGTACGTTAAAGATGTACCGCAAGACCCTGTTGAAGTTATTCAGGCCCCCATACTGCATGATGGTGCTAGCAGTGAGATTGGGTTTGGGCTATAGGTCATTTTAGTTTCAGACTGTTGAGACCAGGAGCAGGACAGGAGAAGTCACAGCCCACCAGCGCCAGCGCAGCATCCGCAACAGCAACAAGAAGTGATCAGCCAGCATCACCAAGAACAAAGGTCCTCCCTGGCAGTGGTCTTGCCCACGCTAAACCCTGAACCCTAAACCCTACAACTGTAAAGCGCTAAACCCCGAGCCCGAAACCCCAAACCTGAGGAGAACCCTAAACCCTAAACCCTAAACGCCTAAATCCTAAACCCCAAACCCTAAACTCTGCACTTTATAAAAAAACCCTAAACCCTAAACAATCGTTTTAGTTTCCTGCCTGCCTCCGAGGAGTCCGAGACCCCAGCCCAAAGCCGGAAAAGGACCAGCAGCCAAAACGGGAGCCCTCAACTCCAAAACCTTAAACCCTGAACCCTCAACTCTAAACCCTCAACCCTAAACCCTAAACCTAAAGACCGTGGAGGATCATGCCCACACCGTGTACCCGGTTCTTCTGGCGTCCGCCGACTTTCAGGATTGGTGGGTGCTGGTCTCAGAAGTTTCCGTTTTGAGGGTTCCGGGGGGGGGGGGGGCCTGAAGTTTCGGGGGATGCAATAGCGTGCTGGGACTTAGATTCTTTTTTTCTGGGGGTTTGTGTTGCCAGACTCCCCAGAGCGTAAACCCGATACTTTGGGTGTTGTTTCGGTCTTTTCGGACACCATTCATGGTGTTGCGGTCGTGGGGTCGTCCAATGTCTAGGTGAGCTATTCCACACTCACCACATGAAGCACAAGCTCGTTTGGAGATTTTGGACACCAGTCACGGTGTTACGGTCGTGGGTGGGGTCCGTCCAATGTATATGTGAGCTATTCCACACGTACCAGTTGTATCAAAGGCTCGTTTGGAGATTTTGGACACCATTCATGGTGTCACGGTCGTGGGGTCGTCCAATGTATATGTGAGCCACACGTACCAGATGCATCAAAAGCTCGTTCGGAGATTTTGGACACCATTCATGGTGTCACAGTCGTGGGGTCGTCCAATGTATATGTGAGTTATTCCACACTCATCACATGCATCAAAAGCTCGCTTGGAGATTTTGGACACCGTTCATGGTCTCACGGTCGTGGGGCGGTTTGCGGTGGAGTGATTTTAGGCCTGTCCGAGCTTGGGGTGCTTGGCACGTGTCTTGTGAACTGAAAACCCGCCGAACCTTCAAACTAGAATTGGGTTTGGGCTTAATGGTTCTGGGTTTACGGGTTGGCTTTAGGAATTTGATGGAGAGCCCGACCTTCCAACAGAAGACCCCGAGCCTTCACCACCCTGCACGCGCCGAGGTTGTCGGGGACAAGCGCTTCGCGCATCCAACTCCCTTCTGGAGTAAGCACACAGCAGCCTGGCACTTCTTGGGCCGGGTCTTAGCCTAAGACTCCAATATCCCTGCATGAAGGAATATTCCTCAAATCATATTAAGGATCCAACTATAATTTGAAGTATATTCCTTAATTAAGGGGTATTGGAGTCTCTAGGTAGCCTCATTGTCATGCCCCATGCCTAACCCCATGCCTTAACCCCACCACGCACACCAAAATCCAAAACCCTACAGGGACGTATACCCCGACATCCTGGCAAAACTCATAGAATCCCTCAAGGAATCCATGATTCTGAACGAAACCTCTCAAACCCAAAGCCCTAAACCGCATACCCTAAACCCTAAACCCTAACCCCTAAACCCTAAACCCATAAACAAAAAAACCCTAAGCCCTAAACCCGCAAACCTCAAACCCTACGCCACCATCTGTTGAAAGACCGCGCAGCTAAGGAAAGAAGAGGCGACCCCGCAGACGGCTGACTTGCGGGATGGCTAGGACACAGAGACTCCACAGTTACTATTATTTTTCTTTTTACTTTTTTGTACTATTGCTGTCATTCTTCTTCTTGTCATTACTATTACTATTACTATTACTATTTCTAGTACTAGTACTAGTACTAGTACTAGTACTATTACTATCACTATTATTATCATTATTGCTATCATTATTGTTACTATTCTTCTTCTTCTTATTATGTGCCCCTTCCCGGAGCCCTGTAAAGGAAACCTCACAGGAGCTGTTAGAGGAAGCTTTAAAGGAGCCTTCGAATCATCAAGGCCCGTGTTTTGCAGAACTGTTGGAGTATCCCTGATTCTAGACCCGCCCTTGAAGGAGCCAAAGATTAGAAGCTGCCCCCACCCTGTAACAGTGACTATAAGGATTATATTAGGGCCCTATTATATTCCTATTATACCACTATTACAGGGTGGGGGCCCCTTCTAAGGTATCTTGAGAGAGTTGAGAGGAACTTGGGAAGTTCAATCCCTGAACACCCAAAGCCCTGAACACCCTAAGCCCCAAAGCCACAAAACCAGAAAACCCTGAACCCCAAACCCTAAGCCGAAGAGCGAACATGCTCCGGGACACTGGGGCTTTGAAGGTTGATGCCGCCTCAATCTCACTGCACCTCGCTCGGAAGAGAACTCCAATTTCTTTAACAACCACGATGAAAACTTCAACATACTGCGGATCCTCTGTTTTACATGGCTTTGCCATCCAAAATCCCAGATTCATACTTCATGATCGCTGCACGGTTTTGTCCTGCAAGCTCAGCAGGCCATCCCGAAACTTCCTAGAGGCCCGATATCCCAAGCCCTTGAACTCTAAACCTTAAACCCTAAACCCCTAAACCCTAAACCGGCTCCCTAAACCCTAACCCGCAAGATCCTAAACCTGTTAACCCCTGATTCTTAAAAGCGCTGCACCCTAGGCGTTCTCCTTGCAGGTGTCACATACGTCAAAGCAACGTCTGCGTGCACAAATCCGCCGCCAGCGGGGGCCATGCCGAAGGGGCTCAGTGGGGCCTACGCACGGGGCCCCAATTACTTTAGGGTTTACGGTTTAAGGTTTAGGGCCCATTTAAGGGGGTTTAGGATTCAGGGTTGAAGGTTTAGGACCCCTTTGGCCACGGCTTAGGTTCCTTTTCTCTGGGTTGGGAGAGGAGACAGGGAAGTGCAGGGCTCTTGCCTCCAGAAAGTAGAGAGAATCCTAGAAGGTAGACAACGCAAGTGACGCAGCCCGGCTCTGTAGGGTGGAAGATAGCAAAACTTGGACTGCTGCACCGTCTTTGACACGATCTGACAGCATGGTAGATCATAGCGCGAATATATAGGCCTACATATATAGCTGTATAGCACATTTACATGAAACCACAGGTCAATCCAGGCCATCATGCATTCGTACTTTCTCTTCCTGCCCTTTTGGTACCCCACTAATTTTGGGCAGATTTGTTGCCTCATCTTTCCCTTGCAGGAGCTCACGGCCGTGCATGTGGTGGGAGGTTCCGTTATATAAACTATAAACAGACGATAACAGACGCATACACTAGTGTGCGTACACGTTTTCAACATGCTGAAATACTTTCACCTGTTTCACCTGTTCTAACATGCATTGTAGGCTGTTACCACATGAGCATGAGCCTCACATTAAGCAGCCCTGGGTTGATAGCTTCAGCCTGGCGTGATCTATCATGCGGACGACAGTCGTGTTGCTATGGCGTTTAGGGCTTAGGGTTTACGGTTTAGGGTGTACGGCTAGGACAGCTAAAAAAGTCATGCTATTCTTCTTTACATCCTGGCTGTCGCTGCTGTTGTCGAATGTCAGTGTTCATCAGCCCGACACCCTACAGCTCTGAAAGCTGATACTATCGGGGCTTCAATAAGTACCTATACGAAGCCCCTAAACCCTCTACCCAATACCCGAGGTCATGGCCTGCATTACCTGGAGATCAGCAAATCTCGACGAGCTGTCGGCTGCCACGACGGCACGCGACGGGATGGCGTGGGATTACACCCGAAATCGCAAGCTTCAAATCCTAACTCAACATCCTAAAACGCTGAGCCTTTCATCATAGACCAAAACTAGGGGCATCAGGATTTCAGGTGCAGTTCTAGCCTCTGGACTTTCGAAGCAGCTGCGTCGAGATGCTGCTGCTGTTTTGCAGGTGACGGACGCTCAAATTGCGCAGCTATGTGAAGCTGCCGGCAGCTGAGTGTTTCCCCTCTCAGAGCAGCTTAGAATATGGGGTTCGGAGTTCATTGAGTCAAAAAGTTCCCTGGTAATAAGTCATGATTGCAGCCATAGCATCACATTATGGTAAGGTTCTCCCATCGTCCTTGTTGTAGATATATCGGAATACTATCTCAGTTTCAGCTGTGCAGATGTTTCTCAGACGCATTCCTCTCGCACCGCTCCCAGCGAGGTCGGCGGGGTCTGCGGCTGGAGTTGCGGCTCCAAGCATTCGCCGTTGATGCTGCGGGGCTGTGATGACAACGGCAAGATCGAGGTGCAATGCCACGCAGCTACTGTTGATGGACAAAATCCTGCATTACCCGTTACAAGGAATATACCATAGTTCCCATAGTTTAGAGTCCTCAGGGTCATGCCGGATTTTGTCCATCAGCAGTATCATGGCAGCTACGTGCCGACTCTACAGCCTCCGTGTCATGCAGAGCTCTGTGTTTGTGATTGCAAGATGCCCGCGGCTTGTCAAGCATCACGGCGCTTCTATTCCTGCTTGCGACTTTCGTTTCACACGACTGCTGTAAACATCTGATCGTTGTTGGTTTTTACTGCATTAGGCAACAGCCAAGTAGTTATTGTTCGTACCATGATAACTTGCTGTAAATATGAGTACTAACATGAAGAGGATCATGAACACTGATATTGATGTTCGTCGTCTTTGTCTTTGTTTTTGTAATTGCCATGGTTTCTAGTGTTGTTGGCGATTGTTGCGATTTGGATGATCCGGCTCCGGATGTGCAGGTCACCAAGACAATGTTTGCCGGCAAGAACTTTCACAATGCCAACTTTCAGGGTAAAGCCCTTGCCTCAGGCCGTCGACATATTGCCAAGGGTTCTTTCATTTCGGTTTACAGTATTTGTATTCATGTTCTCAAGAGCTCGTGGAGTCCACTTCATAGTTGGAATCGTCTATCCTTCTCCCAGTATCCTGCTTCACAGCAGCCAGGGCCACCGAGACTTGCAGAGACCAAAATGTTGAGGAGGGTTTGAAGAGGCCACAAACATGTCCCATGAACATCTGCGAAATGTCGATGTCGGCCTAAACCCTAAAGCCCTAAAGTCTAGATCCTTAACCCTCAGCCCTAAATCCCAAAGCCTAAAATCCTAAACTCTCAGGTGTCCGACTCTTAAGTTTCTGTTCGGCCAACCCTGCTACCAGCATTCCTTGCAGTCTTATCCAGCGCAGCCTCGTTCCCATCATGTCGTACCACGATTACTATTAATATGACCAGCTGGTTAACGGCTGTAACCTGTCCGCTGCTTTCGTGCTTTTCTCGCGACAACAAGAGTCCCAATCATCCACCGCATCTTTCTCGTCGCGTAAAAGGGGTGGAGGCGTTGTGTTGTAGTTTAGGCCGCCACTGCTAATGCTCTGCAGCTTGTGTTGCTTGAGCGAGCACAGCCGGAGCCCCATCATACTCGGTGTCTGGTGAGTGTATAATCCCTAAACCCCTAAACTCCTGAACCCTAAACCCCTAAACCCCTAAACCCTAAATTCCTAAACCCTAAACCCTGAACCCTAAGCCCCTAAACCCCTACACCCTAAACCCTTAAAAAAAAAGCATATCTTAACTGCCGTGGCTCTTTAGGAAGCCGCCGTCCTCTGTTGAGTTCGTCTTGAGCCCAGACCCAGGTCTCCATCCGGCAGTGTCCCGAGGCAGGAGCCTTATTTTGGGGTCTTAAGGTTTGGGAGTTTCCGATAATGAGGGGTACCTTGTTTTGGGGTCCCTATAATAAGGATCCTATACTATTTAGGGTACTATATTGGGGTCCCCCATTTTCGGAAACTCTAAGCTTGTGGTGCGTTTTTTCGGCGCGTGGGAGCCGAAACCGCAAAGAATGAGCCCTAAATCCTGAGCCCTAAACCCCAGGTGGTACATCCTAAACCCTGAACCCTAAACCCTAAACCCTGAACCCTAAACCCTAAACCCTTTAAAAAAAGCAAACAAAAACCCGAAAATCCTTTTACAGATACCTTAAACCTAACCCGAAGGCCCCTGGCCTCATGTAACCCCGACCAGAGGTCCCTGTTTGTGCTGGCTGGAAAACGAAAGCTGCTTTTCAGAGCTTCCGCCAAACCCCAAGGCCACAAAAGCCGCAAGGCCCCAAAAGCCCCAACCCCCCCAACCCCCAAGCACGCAAGCAGGTAGACGAGGATGGACACTGCGTCACTAGCGAAGCCGTCTTCTCACATTGGCGGTGTGGGACGCTCAGTCGCGGGATGCGTGCGTTCTGCGGTGTGTGGTTAAGGTTTTTTTTGTTTGTCCCTGCGGTTTTGGGGCCTTGGAGCAGTTCCCCCGAAACTTAAATCAACCCTGACCCTAGAACCCTAAGCCTTAAACCCCTAAACCGCCCAAACCCTGCATCCTTCTGTTTCTGGGTCTTGAGTGGCGAAGCAGAAGCCGGCTGTGCAGGCCACAACTGCAAGTACAACCCCAACGAGATCGAGGAGGACCCTGGCGGTGTAGCGGAGTGGTTAGCGGTCGAATGGGGGATGGAAGCATGTTCCGAGCCATTTTAGTAGGGGCCTAAATAACTACCTATACTATTCTCGGGATTCCTGATTATACTTATAGTAAAATGGGCCGCACCCTATTCTGATTATTAAGGCCCTGTGTTAGCACGCGTTGTAGAAGCTTTAGAGAACTCTGATAGAACCCCCAGAAATAGAAGGCTTGTGGAATCTTTACGGGAGCCCTTATGGCAACTAGTCACCCTCATGATAGCACGCGTAGAGAATCTTCACAGCAACATCGATCGATTGATAGACCTCAAGCCCCAGCATTCCGAACCCTAAGCCCCAAATCCCAAAAACCCTACAAAACCCTGAGGCCCTAAACCCCGAAACCCAGAAAGCCCTAATGCCCTACAGCCCTAAACCCCGAAAGCCCTACAGCCCTAATGTAGGAACCTGATTCAGAAACCGGGGCCTTCATTAGGGTTCCTTATATGAACCTTACTATATTGTTGGTTATAGGCCCAGGGTTTCGTAATCAGATCCTACATCATTATAGTACCCTTATTATAGATCCCTTATAGTAACCCTTATAAACCCCTTTAAAGGAACCCTAAACCCTAAATCCCTACGCTTCCTACATTATGGCCCCCCCCCCCCCCCCCCCCCCCCCGGAGGATTCCTTCCGCCGTCTGCAGATCATCCCTGGCCTCCCCGATTTTCCGGGAGGGGGCCTGCCAGGCATGCCAGGCTTCTTGGAGGAGTTTAATATAGGGGCATTGGGTTTAGGGTTGAGGGGAGTTTGATATGGGGGCATTGTGTTTAGGTTTAGGGTTGAGAGGGGCCTTAATTAGAATAGGTTCAATATGGGAATTCCGAAGATAGGGCACCCTAATGTAGTACACTAAATAGTAGGGTCCTCATTCTAAGGACCCCCAACTAAGGTACCCCTAATTTCGGAAACTTCCATATAGGGGCATTGGGTTTCGGGCTTAGGGTTGAGGGTTTGGGGAGGGGCCTCAATAATTAGAACAGGGAACCCTTAAATCTAGAAGGGTTACTAGAAGGGTTCTATGATATATGAGGGGACCCTTAATAATTAGAATAGGCTTTTGGGGGGTGTATGAACACTAGCAAGGAACCCTTATTCTAATTATTAAGGCCCGTACGTTAGGGGGATGAACGGGCTTAGGGTTTGGAATTCAGGGTGACTTTTGAGCGTTTGGGGTTGAGATGCTCAGGCTTCAGGGTTGAGGGTTCTGGGCTTCGAGAAATCGGCGGTTGAAGGTTTAGTTGGTTTCAGCCCTACCCCGAAAGCCCTGAACCCGAACTAATAGTCTCTCCTTCTTGCTAGTTGATTTTCAGGTCTAACACTGTAAGCAGGGTTCTGCACCCTTTCTTTCAGGGTTGGGAACATCGGATCCTAGGTGAGTAATTAGAGCAAGCCTTTGAGACATATTATGGTATAATGACTGAGCACCCGAACCCCTCCGCACAGCACACAAAACAAAAACCGAAAACTCCAACAGCTCCCTAAACTCTGCACACACTACTGTTGATGGACAATATCCTGCATGACCCTAAGGACTCTAAACTATGGGAAACTATGGTATATTCCTTATACAGGGTAATGCAGGATTTTGTCCATCAGCACTACAACTCCTACAGTCTTACCTTTGCTTAGTAGGGAATGGAAGAATAGTAGTAATAGTAATTATAGTTATACCCCATTCCTCCATTCCCTACTAACCAAAGGTAAGCAAACCCTCCTAAACACCCCCATAAACCCCTCAAAACCCCCCAACCCCCCCAAACCCCCCCAACCCCCCAACCCCCCCAACCCCCCGCACACGAGTCCTACAGTTCCCATGAGCCCTCCAAGGCATCGGCGGCATTGGAGGAGGCGGGATCCCCATCGATGGGGACGTCCCTGCCGGGCTGCCAGGAGGCCAGGGTTGCTATTGTCTCAACAGAGCATCCTTGCTATGGTTTTGGGGACCTACTATTCAGTACTACGGTTGATGATATAAATCCTGCATTACTTAAGGACCCTAAACTATGGGAATTACGGTATATTCCTTATTATGGGTAATGTAGGATTTGTATCATCAACCGTAGTAATGCAGGGCCCTTAATTCTTAGGGCTCTGGTTATGGGGTTGAGGGTTTAGGGATTAGAATATGTTTCCTTGGCTTTTGACAGGGGCCTTGATGATTCGAACAGGGGTGTGTTTTGCTATAGTTGTATTAGGGGCTTATCGCTGTGCTAGCATCGGAAGGATCATGCTTGTGAGTCTTGTTAAGTAGATACTACTCCTGCTAATTATTACTACCACGATTAGGACCATGACTGTGGACCTGCTTCTACACCTGCTTCTACTTGACATTTTTGATTGTATTGCGCTGATCGCTACTACATTCTGCTCATTCGTATTTCTAGCAGCATTGTATTCGTCATATCTTACATGTATTCTTTGGTGTGCGGCTCCTGCTCGATGTGTGGCTTCGTTCGGGTCTTCGGCCAGCCACGTGGTCCCTTGCACTTTTGCGCTTCTTGGCCGGTGGAACGTTGCAGCTCCTTCAGTCCAAGACTAGTTCACGCTGCGGGATCCAAGCCACCCCTTCATGTGGTACCTTAAGATCTATGATGATCTGTGACAGACCTGCTCTAGCCCCAGGCCCTAAGCCCTTTGGGGCGCGTTACTGTCATTTGCTTCTTGCCGCAGGGAGCGGTATGCAGGTTCAGCCCTGGTTTCGATGTTTGGGGTGTAGGGCTTTGATTGCCAAACCCCTAGCCCTACGTCCATGTTGCGCTGAACCCTAAAGCCCGGACTCTGCACTCAAAACGTGTAGAGCTTGTGGTTGGGCATTGAGGATTAGGGCTTAGGGTTTAGGGCTTAGGGCTTAGGGTTTAGGGGTGAGGGTTTAGGGCTTAGGGGTGAGGGTGGGTTTCCCAGAGACCTTGCAGGAAAAGGCTTTCAGCCACCCCGAATCCTCTCTGGAACGAGCCAGGATCCGGTCTTTTTCGAAAAACCGCAAACCAAGGGAAAGGAAAGGTTTCACGCCCAACAGCCTGAAGCGCCGACAATGCACGAGGCACCCCTGAACCCCAAACTCCTAGTACCCCAAACTCTAAACCATGTACCCTGAACCCTAAACCCGATACCCTGAAACCTAAGCCTTAGACCCCAAACTCCTATACCCCAAACTCTAAACCACTTCCTAAACCTTAAACCCCAAACAATGGAAAGCCCAAAGACCGAAAGAACGGGGGCTCCGCGCAGGCTCCGGGCTCCCCTCCGATGGGGAGGATGCCAAGAGCTCCTACATCTACACCTCCTTGCCTTGTCCTTAGTAGCGGCAGCAGCATGAGTTCTAGCAGCAGTACAAAAGAAGTAGTCACAGTTCCAGTCGCGGTTGAAGTCACATTGGGCAGTACCGGTACTCCTCTTCCTCCTCCTCAACCTCCTCCGCCTATTCACTATTCCTTCCTCCCGCCGATGCTGCTGCCGCTGCTACTGTTGTTGCTACTGCTGCGGCGACGACGACTACTACAACCACTGCTTCTGAGATGATAAGTATTCGCACTGAAAAGAACCAGCAGCCCCAGCACCAGCAAGCCCTACACCGTAAAGCTCAAATCTCCTTTCTTCTGAGGCCGAAACTCGAGGTGTCCGTGACGGGGCTAGGCGCGGTCTTAAGCTTTAGGGCTCTTTAGGGCTGTCGGGTTTTGGGGTTCGGGGCTCAGGGTGTAGGGATCGTACACCACTACAGCAACGAGTCCCCGACCTTAATCCAGACGCTGCAAACAGTAAGCCCTACACCTAAACCAGAAAAGTAAGCCCCCTAAACCCTGAGCCTCATAGCTCAAACAGAGAATTCTATCGAGGGCTTCTCCAGGAACCATAGACCGGGCCGGGCACGAGATTTATAGGGCTTGGGACTGAGGCTTCTCTTCCTTGTGGTTTAGGGTTTAGGGTTTGGGGTATGCCATTGCTGTTGAAGAGCGTGTGCCGTGCCCAGTAAAGCACAACAGTTGCTGCAGCCGTAGCTGTAGCAGCACGAGCGGCGGAACCGCAGCGAGAAGCGCCTGCAAAGTTCGCAACAACAGCGGCGGAACCGTCATCAGCTCGTCTTCGTTGCGGCCGTCGTGATCTCCATATTTCAGGACACCACAGTAATTGCAAAGTCAAAACCTCTCTGCCCTGAACAGTTAACGTCCCTGTGTCCTGAACCCAAGAGCTCTCAACCTCAACACCCCTTTACACCCCAAAACGCTCCAAACCCTAAACCCTAGAGCCCTTTGCCTATAGTTTGAGGGGGACGCACTTTGAGGGCGCGCGTCGGATGATGCTCTAAACCCTAGAGCCCTTAACGGAGACCCTCTTAAAGAAACCCATGCTACCTTTTAAAGTAACGCTATAGATCCCTCAAAGGAGCCCTTAAAAAGCCCCCAGGCCAACTGGCCCCAGGCCCTAAACTTTAAACCCCACACCCTAAACCCTAGAGCCCAGGAGCCCGGTGCACTTTTTAAAGAACCCGAGAGCCCCTTAAAGGCCCCCCTAAGCCCACTCTCAGGCCCGCCGGATGATGACAACATCCTGTCGCAGCCGGGCGTCGTCATCTTCGAGTCTTCGGAGACGAAGGGCTTCGGGGGTTTTGGGGGTTTTGGGGGGGGGTTTGGGGCGTTTGGGTTTTTTGGGGGTGGTGGGGGTTTTGGGGGTTTATTTCGGGTTTGTGCAGTTTGGGATTTAAGGTTTGGGGTTTAGGGGTTAAGGGTTTGCAGTTTGTGGTTTAGGGTTGTAGGGTCTGGGGTTTGGGGTTTCGTGAGTGTTCCCTGATGTAGCTAGAGTACAAGTGTAAAGTTCCCCCCAGGCCAGATATTCGGCCCACAGTCTTTTTCGTTGTCGTACAAGTTTTCCAAGTCTCAGCAGCCGACGGTACCGAGTCGGCTCATGCATCGTATAGTTTAGGTTAGTATTATGTAGCATAGTATAGTACAGTATAGTATAGGTTAGTGATATATGTATGTATGTATATATATATATATATAAATAGGGTAGTAGCGTATAGTAGAGAGAGTATCCTCTCGCATGGCATAGTTTCGCATAGTAAAGTATCGTGCAGTAGAGCACCGTATACGCCGAATTGCTGTAGCCTAGGGTCCCGAGCCGGTGTTGTGGTCCCAAATGGCTGATCTCTCACCATTTCCAAGTGGAGCCGAGAGCTTTAGCGTGAGGCCACGACGCCGAGCTCAGACAGCCCCGAGTTTTGCAGGTAGATTTTTTCTGGGACCTCAGGAAAAACCCTAAACCCTACCTGTAGCCGAAAAGACCTACCTTTTTAAGGAACTATATATAGAAACCATAACAAGGAACCCTAAAAAGGTAGGTCTTTTCGGCTACAGGTAAGCCCTAAACAAGAGTTTGTCGTCTTGCAGCCTTCCGGCGTTCAAGGGCCGTAGAAGAGGAGGAGCACCTGAAGCCCCACAACTTCTTCGCATCATTTACCTCGAAGGAGACGACTCCAAACAGCTGGCAACCTCTCTACAGGGAGGTGCCTGCAAAGGTGATTTGAGTCAAAACCTTACGTCCTAAACAAGAGTTGGTGGGTGGAGTGCATTCGGGGTCCGGGGTCCAGAGCTTGACATAGTTTCGACAAGGTCAACCCTAAACATCTAAAACCTTTAAGCCTGAACCCTTAATCCTGAACCCTAAAGCCTGAACCCTAAAAACCCAAAAGCCGAACAGCCTATAAGTCTTAAACTCCCCAGCTGAAACCCCTAAACCCAAAACCCTAAACCCTAACGTCGTCGGGCCCGTCACAGATCCTCCAAGCCTTTCCTGCACCACCGACTCTCAGAATCCTCCCCTGCAAGGCCCTGAACCAAGATTCAAAGGGGAAAGGGAGGGACCCTTGATGGGGACCCCTACCCTAATAATGGGTATATAATGGCTATATTCAGGGTATTTACCTAGGGGTCCTTATTAAGGGTCCCTCCTTTTACTTTTCGAAAGATGCAGAGGAAGGATTCCTCTAAGGGCTTCTTTCCGGGCTTGCTGCAGCTGTACGGGTTGTACAATGGAGGGTCTTGGATTCTTACCGGTAGGATTTATTTAGGGTTTCTTGTGATATTTCTACCTTAGTATTCCAAGGCTACAGGTCCCTACATAAGACCCCAAGCAGGAAAACAGACATTCACGCCCTAAGAATCCGAAACCCTGAGGCCAAGGCCTCAAACGAGACAGCGGCCAGGCTTACATTAAAACGCGGCCTCCGATTGCAGTGGACCCTTCTGGGCAGCCTATCACAGGCCCGCTTGGACGGGCTTCAGGTGTGCTGTTTCAAGTATCAGAAGATTTGAGAGCGCTCATGGGGCCTTAGACGGTTCGAGGTCTATGCTAGTGAATTATGTGTTATCTAAGTTCTAAAGGTATGTGTTAGTCATTAAGCAAAAAGCTGACGCCATTGACTTTGGCAGCTGACGACAAAGGAACAAGGCCATGACGACGGTGGACGATGCCACGACGACGGGTGGACGACGACAGGACGGCGACGCGACGACGACAGCACAACGACGCGACGACGACAGGACAACGATGCGACGACGACGCTACAACGACACGACGACGACGACGACGACGACGGAGCGACGACCACGTCGTCGCGCGCCTGTCGTGCATCCGCCACGCGAGCGTCGTCTGTCCGTCGCACGCCGGCCGTCCAGCCGTCATAAGGCCGAAATAAGGCATATTTCGGCCTTATGACGGACGCGTGGCGGCTGCGCGGCGGACAGATGACGGATGCGCGACGGAGGTGCGGCGGACGCGCGGCAGGCCGCACATCCGTTACGCATACGTTGTCTGTCCGTCGCGCGCCCGCCGTCCATCCGTCATAAGGCCGAATTAAGGCTTATTTCGGCCTTATGACGGACGCGCGGCGGCTGCGCGGCGGACAGATGACGCATGAGCGACGGAGGTGCGGCGGACGCGCGGCGGGCCGCACATCCGTCACGCATCCGTCGTCTGTCCGCCGCACGCCCCCCGTCCATCCATCATAAGGCCAAAATAAGCCTTATTTAGGCCTTATGACGGCTGCGCGGCGTCTGCGCGGCGGACAGACGACGGACGCGCGGAGGACGGGCGACCGTCGCGCATCCGTCGTCTGTCCGCCGCGCAGCCGCCGTCCATCCGTCATATAAGGCCGAAATAGGGCTTATTTCGGCCTTATGACGGACGCGCGGCGGCTGCGCGGCGGACAGATGACGGATGCGCGACGGAGGTGCGGCGGACGCGCGGCCGCGCGGCGGGCCGCCACACACATCCGTTACGCATCCGTCGTCTGTCCGCCGCGCTCCCGCTGTCCATCCGTCATAAGGCCGAAATAAGCCATATTTCGGCCGTATGACGGCTGGGCGGCGGACAGACGACGAACGCGCGGCGGACGGGCGACCGTCGCGCATCCGTCGTCTGTCCGTCCCGCGCCCACCGTCCATCCGTCATAAGGCCGAAAGAAACCTTATTTCGGCCTTATGACGGATGGACCGTGGGCGCGGGACGGACAGACGACACTGGCGCAGCGGATGCACAACAGACGCGCGACGGACGCACTTCGGTCGTCCGTCTATGGCGCGTCAGTCGCACTGCCGTCGTGCCTCCGCCGCACATCCGTCGTCTGTCCGCCGCGCAGCTTCCGTCCATCCGTCATAAAGCCCTTTAAGCGTTGCCAAAGCGTCTTCGCATCGTCGGCGTGTCGTCGCAAGGTGGTCAGGTCGTTGTCTTCGTTGCCGTCGCTGTCGTGTCCATTTCGCGCAGCGTCGTCGCATGCTCGTCGCGCCGTTGTCGCATTGTCGTCGCACCGTCGTTGCATCGTTGTCGCATCGTCGTCGCGTTGTCGCTGTGTCGTCGTCACACCACCGCCGGACCGTTGTTGCATCGTCGCCGTGCCGGCGTCGCAACGTCGTCGTGTTGTCAGTTTCCTGGCCGTCAAGACCCCTCCTCTTATACTAGAAACCATACTCCACATGTCTTCAGAACATAGATAAATTATGTGCAGAAAAGCGCTTGGCAGTATTCTAGCATCCATAGCAATCCTGACAGTATAAGAGGATCCCTACTATCCGCTTTTCATAGGTCTGGAGCATTTTCAGGGCTTTTCCGAAGCATTTGACCACCGTCCGGCTGCGTGAAGCCGGCAAGCTGAGGATCTTTAGGGCTATAGACGGTACCATTATGTTGGATGTGGGTGCGGGTTTAGAGTTTGTCATGTTCCCCAAAGACCCGAAGTCCCAAATCCTGAGCCCCAAGTAGGCACTACCCTTCTAACCATGTGGCACTTACGTAATACAGGGGCCTTCATAATTCCCTATACTATTTGGGGGGCTCTCTCTTATAAGTATCGTATACTGGGGGCCCCAAGACCCTGTTCTAATTTTAACGCTACGGTGCTACGCCGCCCGCCTCGGCTTGTGAAAGAGCAGAGCCGACGCGGAAGTGAAGGGACGCAGGAGGGAGCGGAAGGCTTGAAGAGAGGTAGTATTATTAGGGAGACCCCTTAAAGGGTACCCCTTCTGAACCCTACTCCTGGCTCTCTTAAAAGGGCCTTATTGAGAGGGTCTATATTATATATCCTCAAGGGTCCCCGTAATCCTAACGGGGGTGTGGGGGCCCTTGTTCTTCGCCCAACGGAGCGCTGGGTCTTGGAGCCCTTTCCCCAGGTCCGGTGGACGAAGACGAGGAGGAGGACTACGAGGAGCTGGCACGAGGTTAGAGCTTGAAGGTTTGTAATTCATGTTTCAGAGGAGTGATCGAGTGTTGGAGATACCGGGAATCTGCAAGATGATTCAACAGTGTGTGTATATGTATATATATATATATATGTGTGCATACATATGTGGGCTCTCTGCATGGTCTAAGAAGAGCCATGCCCTTCAGCACTTTGTGGCGTTTCATATCCCACATGCTCCCTGATGGAGACCTTCTCGCCTTTGGGTCTAAACGCAGAGCAGCTGGATCTGCAGCAACCCATATCCTGCAAAGAAAGCCATGTCAGACCCTGACATCTAAACCCCCTAAGCCCCCAAACGCAAAAAAACGCTGCACCGCAAACCTTGTCCTCAACTCCAACCCCAAGACAACTTAAAGCTTAAGCCTTACCGTGACGAGCCATGCACGGGACACTGTCGGGTATCCAACTCCGAGGTTTACTCTCCGGGTAGACGTCCACCTCTGTAAATCGTCGGATATACTGATGTCTGCCCAGATTAAGATGCCTGAGGGTGTCAGTTCGCCACGGAACGGCGTGGTCCACAAAACACAGTCTGTCGCTCTGCGTAAAGAGACCATGTTCAACACCCCAGAGCTTTCCGTGTCGGTTTGGGGACATCACTCACAGAAAAAAAGCCTTCCCCGGAATTTTAAAAGATACACTCCGCAGCGGTAGCCAGGCACCGACCTTCACCCTAAAGCCTGAACCCTGAATTCCTGAACCCTGGACCCTAGACCCCAACCCAAAACCCTGAACCCTAATCCCTGAAACCTAAATCCTGAACCCTGAGTCCTGAAGCCTAAATCCTAAATCCTGAATCCTGGGCCCAAAACCCAACACCCTAAACCCTAAACCCCAAAGCCCCACATCCTAAACCCTAAACCCCAACAGCCCTAAACCCCTAAAGCACATAGATCCCTTTAAGGAACCCCTATAGATCCCTTTAAAGGAACCCTAAAACCCCTAGCAGCACAGGAGAAGGGTCCCCAGCAGGGTGCCTTCAGCCGGCATCGAATGCATCTGAGCCAGGGCAACAGGCCGGCCTAGGGTTTAGGCTTTGGGGCTTTAGGGGTTTTAGGGTGTAGGGGTCAGGGGCTGTAGGGTTGTAGGGGTTTAGAGTTTAGGGGTTTAGGGGTTTAGGGGTTTAGGGTTTAGGGGTTTAGGGTTTAGGGCTTTAGGGGTTTAGGGTTTAGGCTTCAGGGGTTTAGGGGTTTAGGGGTTTAGGGTTTAGGGGTTTAGGGTTTAGGGCTTTAGGGGTTTAGGGTTTAGGCTTCAGGGGTTTAGGGGTTTAGGGTTGTAGGCGCTTTAGGGTTTAGGGTGTAGGGCTGTAGGGTTAAGGCTTTAGGGGTTTAGGGGTTAGGGTCTTTGGGGGTTTAGGGTTTAGGGTGTAGGGCTTTGGGTTTAGGGTTTAGGGTTTGGGGTGTAGGGCTTTGGGTTTAGGGCATCGGTGCAGGGCTTAGGGTTCAGGAGGGGTTCAGTGTAGGGTTCAGGGTTCAAGGCTTAGTGTTGAGGGATCACGGCTTCCGAATTACTTTTTGCCCAATCACACCTCGAACTCCAATTCGAAATGCAGCTTTTCTCAACGGTATTTGGATGTTGTTCTAGATCGTGGTCCTTTGTCGATGGTTTTTCTAGATTGTGTGATCCCTTCTCGTGTCTAGTCACAACGAGCTATTATGCACAACGATGCGGGCACACAGAACATGCCCATCTGAAGCTGGAACGCGCCCTCAGCGCCGAAACCCAAAAGCCCTGCCTCTTGAGGCTCACCATGGAGCCCAAGTGGTGCTTCGGGAAGCAGGGCCCCCTCTACCTGGTCGCTTGCGCGGTGAATGGCTCCATCTATGGAGAGCAGGTGCTAAGGGTTTAGGGCATGGTGGAAGCGAAAGCAAAGGAATAGCATACCGGCTGATGCTCATGGTGGTGGTGGTGGTGGTGGTGGTGGTGGTGGTGGTGTTCGTAGTGATGACGATGATGATGCTGAGGATATTGCTTACAGAAGGCGGTGGCTATTCAATGTGTTGACACATTAAGGCGAGAGTGCTGGTCGTGCAGTCCTTAACTTACAGCCTCACAGCAAGACCAGCAATACGCTACAAGTAGTTAAGTAGTTGGTAGCAGAAGTGTAGCGTCTCTGCTAGACCAGTGAAAGTGTCACCATATCGGTATGTGAACATCAACAGAGTGGCAGGCAGAAACTCATCACAAGTCGCAGTTCGAAGAGGCCAACTACGACAACTGCAGTAGAAATATCAATGGAAAGTAAGCCGCAGTGCAGTGCTAGCAACGTTAACCAAAAGTGAGATTCCATGTGGCAGCGCTGATGACGAGACCAAAAACGGCCTAAACCCCCAAACCCCTGAGCCCCTAAACCCTACACCTCGAAAGAACCTGACGGAGGACTTCAACCTTAACTCGAGCTGTCGCAACGGACACTGGAACGCAAGCACTCAGCGCCATAAACTGTACACTCTGAGCCTATCGCAATCGAATCCCTAGAGAAAGCCCACAAGGTTTCGCACACTTGGGGCTTTCTACACTAAAGGATCCTCTTTTTTTGCCCTTTCGCACGGTACATAGGCCTACTTCTGATCGCCACAACGACGATCATTGGAATCATCTTCCTAACCATACCAAGCAGACTCAACTAAACCAGAGTCCCTACAATAGCAACCGTAAGAACCACCGTAGTCATACCGGCCGTACTGCGGGTTGCAGGCCGTCGGGTCCGAAACTTGGACTAAAGCTTGTTCTACACGGGAGTTGCCGACAATAGGGGACCCTAAAACAGTATCCTAAATAGTAGGATCCTTATTATTATAAGGACCCCAAAACAGGGTACCCCCAATTTTTGGTAACTCCCACACCGTGGTTTGTGAACCGAGATGCAAGCCGCAAGCCTAACCCTGAGCCGCACAAACAAGGAACGTCAAGCCGTGTAAGGTTTCGGGTTTAGGGTTTAGGGTTTAATGTAGGAACCTGATTAAGAAACTCTAGGCCCATAACCTCAAAATAGTAGGATTCATGTAAGGAACCCTAGTGAGGAGCCAAGGTTTCTTGATCAGGTTCCTACATAAGGGTTTAGGAGTCCAGAAAACAAAGAGCCAGACCCGGCCCGGAACTCTGGACCGCCCTTGGCCCCAAGCCGCCCAAGACAAGACCCCGAAGGCAATGGCATGTTTCGAGTTCCCTAAACCCTAAACCCCCAGACCCCTAAACCCAAAACCCTAAACCCTAAACCCTTAAACCCAAAACCCAAAACCCAAAACCCTAAACCCACAACCCTAAACCCTAAACCCTGTTGGGGCTCAAGCATAGGAGCGCCGCACCCATAGAACCCTAAACCCTAAACGCCCCAAGACAGCGAAGCTGGAGAAAAGGAGCGACAAAAACAAAAAACGCCCCAAGACCCTGAACCCCAACCTGCTTATTGTAAGTCCCGGAAAGCCTGAGATCCCACCTATCCTAAGAGACCTGAGCTCCTGTCCCTGTAAACCCCGAAAGCTTGACAGAACCCAAGCCCTGCTTTGTAGGGTGATTTGGAAATCGTACGACCCGAATGCCGCCAGGGCTTCAAGGGCTTCACCGCCGGTCAGAAAGCCGCGCCGCCTCCCTTCAATGACTCCCGGGCCCAAATATTCGAGGGCTTCTAGGTTCCAGGCTTGGGGATAACTTCTTAATGGCTACGGCTTAGACATCAGTTTCGCGAAGTTGATGATCAGAATCCTACAGTACCCCCAGCATTGTTTACGACGCAGCACTCTGTCCACCAACACCTTAAACCCGAAGACGAGCACACGAAATGTGAAAGTCTATATACCCCAAACCTCTAGAGTGAACTACAGTTGCAACATGAGGTAAGGATGACTAGTGCTTGGCTTCCCTGTACTGCATCTAAAGCGGAGCAGAACAAACTCTGAGGATGATCCAACTTTCTGGCTCCTATTCTGAACTCGCGACCCTTGAACGTTAAATCCTGAACCCCACACAGCACCCTAAGCGCTTCAACCCGAGAATCCTGAACCCTAAACGCTAGATCCCATCCCAGACCGTCCAAGGATCGGTGCCTCGAAGTCTCAGGGCGCTGCGCCCATGCATGCATGAGCCATCAGCCCCTTCCCTGAGCTCAAGAAGTTTTTTTGTTTAGTTTAGGGTTCATGGTTTAGAGTTTGGGGTTTGGGGTTTAGGGTTTAGGGTCCTATAGTCCAGGGTCATTAAGGTAATGCATCGGCCGTACAACCCTAAACCACCACGAACCGCCGCTGCTTCCAGGGAGCCCATGGCAAATTGCAGTGCCGATGGACGCATCCTCCAGTCCTCCCTGGTAAGCCATGTCAAGGCAGGAGCTCTGCTTCTTGGGTTTAGGGCGGGCTTTGGGGGTTTAGGGTTTAGGGGTTCCGGCTTGCATGCTAAGTTAACTTTCAAACTTTACGAGCATGTGGGATATAGGATTTAGGTGCCCTTGGCCAAGAAGTTTAGATGCTTCGCGTTGGTTAATCACGGGTTTCCGCCGTTCAAGGTTTCCTTTGCAGAGAGTTGTGCTTGTGTGTGAGTATTTGTGCGCATATGACCGCATATGTTTCTGAGAAAGAGAGTGTGTGTCGTTGTGCGTCTGTACTTTGTGCGTAAGTGACAAACTCCATTGAAAGCTAGGGGATTTGGACCTGTCACGTCAGGTATGCCGAGGAAGTCCTTTCTCCCTTGCTCTCTCTTTCGTTTCTTCCTCCGCTCGCCTTCCCGTGGCTCTCGGTTAGTTTAGTGTCATCCTTCATAGATTGTGGAGCTCCAGCACTGGGGCAAGCGCCCGTATCTCTACGTTGCCCAGCGAAGCTGCGAGAGAAGTGGTGGAAGCAGAATGGGACGCCGTTCCGTGAACCTGGTATTCGGTAATATAGGGGCCCTATACTATTTTGGGGTTTCCTTATTGTCTTTATATGCATAATATGCCACCTAATTGTTAAGGCCCCTATAGCATAGCACGGGGCTCAGTCGGCTCAACAGGTAGAAGTGGCCTTGTCTGCCTTTGTGAGAGATCTTTGCGAGAAAGATCTTTGGAGCAAGCCCTTGAAACTTGAAGCCAAAACCCTAAACTCCAAACCCCAAACCCTAAACCCCAAACCCCTAAACCCTAAACCCTTTGAGACTACGCCTCAACTCCAACTCTGACTTTAGATGCGTTGAGCCCTAAAACCTAACCTCGAAGCCTTGGGCCGAGACTTAGGAGTACCATTGGGGTTTAGGGTCTAGGATGTAGGATTTAGGGTTTAGGGTTTAGATAACCCTATTTAGGATCCCTTTTAGGCTACCTATAACTCTACTTATTGCCTACTTAGTAAGTCCCCCGACCCTCCAAGTTTGCATCCCCTGAACTCGAAAACCCAAGTCTGGAGCCGGTAGCCCTCCTCCGTGCCAGTGGGAAACGGCGGACACCATGCCTGTCTTCGTCCTGTGTGGCGGCCCCAGACCGAAGCAGCACCATCAGCCGAGGATCTTCAAAACCTCAAAGCCTACACCCTAAACCCCTACAGCCCTAAACCCTAAACCCCTAAAGCCTTAAAGCCCTAAACCCTAAACCCCTAAAGCCCTAAACCCTAAGCACTTAAAGCCCTAAACCCTAAACCCTAAACCCTGAGCCCATGAAGCTGGGGTCTTCGTTTCGGAGCCCAGGTCAAGGGGGCCGGAAGAGTCGATACTGTGGTTCCCTTATACTTACCTTTGGTTAGTAGGGAATGGAGGAATGGGGTACAATCATAGCTACTATTACTGCCATTCTTCCATTCCCTACTAACCAAAGGTAAGTATACTTAGTCCGTATGACTTAGAATGTTCTGCAATGCTACAACCACAACCCTCTTTTAATCAGGACCCTTCTAGCAACCCTTTAACGAAGTCCTTAGTAAGAAGCCCTATTCTGATCATTAACTTACACCACCCTCGCGCTGAGGGGCACGTGATGCCCACCCTAAACTCTAAACCCTAAACCCTAAACTTTCGAAAGGTATTCTCTTGCTGGTCTGCTTCGCCATCAAGGCTCTCTGTGGAATTTCGGCGAATGGGTTAGGGTTTTTCACACTTCACGTTTCCTCAGCTTTTGTTGTTGCGTTGAATGGCAGCCGTACAGGCACCCAAAGCTGTTCTCTAAGTCGAAGACCTCTACCTTCGCCCCTAAAGCCTTATGAACTTGAGCAAGAACCCGATTACGCCACTCTTCAAGAGCCTGCAACGCCCAAAAACAAAACCTACACCCTGAACTAAAGCCTAAACTCGAAGATCTCAAGTGAGAACCCTTGCGGCTGAGGGCTCTTCTTTGTCAAGTCGTCGCTGTAGGATGTGGGGGCTTGGGTTTAGGGTTTATTTGGAGTTGAGAGTAGGGCTGGCTATGCAAAGTATATCGGTATGCGAGAAATTGTATAACGCAGTATAAAGTGAAAACCTTAAACGTTCAGACCCCCAAGAGCAGCAAACTCGGACAGGACCGCGAAAGCCCGTTTTCCATGAGGGTTTGAACACTACACCCTAAACTTAAACCCTAAACCCTCAACCGTGGCTCAATGTCGGGTACCTTATTTCGGGGTCCTTATAATAAGGATCCTACTGTTTAGGGTACTATATTAGGGTCCCCTATTTTCGGAAACTCCCACGTTGGGGCTTGCCTTGAACAAAAATCGACAGCAGATTGGGAGGCCGCTGGTCCACTAATGTAGGGGCTTTAATGATTAGAATGGGGGGTTTTGGGAGTTCCTTTTTACATCTCTAGTATAGTATAACCCCGAACCGTATTCTAAATATTAAGGCCCCTACATAACATCCCATTACCATTGATGGACCATCGAGATGTAATCTTCACCCTTTTCCCCGTGACAACTAATCCTGAACCCTAAGCCACTCAAAAGCCTTAGAGCCCACTCCCTCGAAACCAGAGTGTTACCCAAAAATCTAAACCCTGATGAAACCTAAACCCCAAAACCTAAACCCTAGCACCTAAACTCTAAAGCACTGCAATCCTAGAACCTAAACCTCTAAAGCCCTGCAACCCTAAACCCTCAAACCTAAACCCTAAACCCTAAAACCTATATAAACTCTAAACCCTAATAACCTGGACCCGAAGGGTGTTGCCCTGGAGGTGCTGGCGCTGTGCCCCGGCATCTTTTGGCCCTACCGGCACTACCGGAGGTGGGGCTCCGGGGGCGAAGACGGCGGTTTAGGGTTTAGGGTTCAGGGTTCAGGGTTTAGGGTTTAGAGTAGGGTTTAGGGTTTGGGGTTTAGGGTTGAGGGATTGGGGTTGTGGGGTTTAGGGTTCCCAAAGCGTCCTAAAGTGCCCGTAACCTTCAACGTCCTAAACACGGCCCATATTTTGTGGATTTCGGTTGTACAAGGGATTCTATGTGGGCTCTATACGGGGGTTTGCGAAAATAGGGGACCCTAATATAGTACCCTAAATAGTAGGGCCTTTACTATAAGGACCCCGAATACGGTACCCCAAATTTTTGGAAACTCCCATACCCCAAAACTCTTTCCTAAACCCTAAACCCCTAAAGCCCCTATACATCCCTAAAAGTACCCTTCTAGATCCCTTATAGTACCCCTTATGGATCCCTTTAAAGGAACCGGGCTCTACACCCTGGAAGCTTCCAAAAGTGAAATCCCAGGATCTGCAAACGTTTGTAGGCTGCAGGGTTTCGTACCGATCGGACGAACTTGAAGAGGAAAGGTGCTCTTTGGTTCTCATTTTGGGTCTCAGTAATAGTTGGGTAATATTCGTAACGTAGGCATACTAGGCCCTTATAATCGTAATGTAGGCATACTAGGCCCTTATAAGGCCCCATTATAGACTGTGCCTGTATTGGGGCAATACCCACGTTATCTTGCTTTTGGACCTTGCCTGAAACACTCCAAGGGTAAAAGGAGGGACCCCTAATAAGGACCCCTGGGTATATACTCTTAATATAGCCATTATATACCCATTGTATAGCCCATTATAGGGTAGGGGTCCCCATGAAGGGTCCCTCCTCTTCCCCTTTGAAACACAGCTTTCGTACCGCGGCGCAGGTATGACCCCGAGCTGACTGAGCATCTCCGAATCCCGATCAGCAGTTAGCAAGTACCCAGAGAGCCCAATACCCCTTAACTAAGGAATATAGCTTAAATCATAATATGAAGCCCTATATGATTTAAGCCATATTCCTAATTCAGGGGTATTGGGCTCTCTGGGTAAAGGCCGAATCTGGAGGTTTGCAGGATTATTGTCAGGTAGCCATCTAGTAGTATAGTCATAGAATGTCATAGAGACTGATGTTGCAGCGGGCTTAGCCCCTCTCTCCGAAATAAAGAAGGCATTTAGCGCATCTCGACCAACTCTGGAGCACATTGTAGAGGATGGCAGACAGCTGGCCCGTGTCTTGCATTGAAGCAAGTTACAGAGGGTCACCACGTTCAACCGGGTTGCTCACTTGAGGTAATACCAAGAAACCCGCCGGCCTACACACTTTAGCCATCGTCGTATCATCCCTATCATCATCATCATCGTCATCATCATCATCATCGTCATCATCCTTACCATCGTCAGCACCATCACCAGAATCATGACATGTCGCCGGTGTTTGCATGATTTTGCATGAGTCCAGGCTTCATCAACGTCTGCGTCCCGAGCGAGGGCGAGAACAAAGCCGTGACTTTGAGGCCTCTCTCCGAGGGCATCCCTGGATCGGGTTTAGAGTTTAGGGTAGAGGGTTTAAGGTTTAGGGGTTTAGGGGTTTAGGGTTTAGGGGTTTAGGGGTTTAGGGTTTAGGGGTTTAGGGTTTAGGGTTTAGGGTTTAGGGGTTTAGGGTGAATAGGGGTTTAGGGGTTTAGGGTTTAGGGTTTAGGGTTTAGGGGTTTAGGGTGAATAGGGGTTTAGGAGTTTAGGGGTTTAGGCTTTAGGGTTTACGATGTGTAGCTGTATTCTGGGGCTGCAGCCGGCCTGGATTGTTAACTGTCGATGACAGCTCTGAGTCTCCATGTCTCCACGTCTCCATCCCTCTCCGCCCTTCCTGTCCCTCCGTCTGTCCCTCCTTTCAGGTCTCTTGCAAGCCCGAGCACGGTCGCTGATGCATCCTAGCAGCGCATTTTGTGTTGATGTTCTGCGTCTGCTCGGTGCAGGGTTCACGGCAATGCGGTGTATGGCCATTCGGATGTCAACCGTGGTAGAGTTCTTGGAAAGTTCGCGAAAGTCACCCGAAAAGTTGGGTTTCAGGCTGATCGGGGTCGATCGATGTTGTGATGGAGGCCACTATGCCATCTGTGACTCGTGTGCGAGTCGCCGTCGTGCATTTGGCTCCCTCCTTAGCTCTCGCTTCCGTTCCTTTTTCTCTCCCCCCCCCGTGTCTGTGTGCGTCATTTCTCTACTACTCCTTGCCTGCGACAGGAGCCTTATTGGCGCCATTGGATGCATTCCGAAGGCCCCGGGCACGGAAGTTGGGATGCGGCATGAGGTCTCCAGAATAATGACAGTAGGCGTTTGGGAATGCAGAGTTTTGAGTTCCCGGTTTTTCTTTTTGGTTTACTGTTCCGGGGTGTGAGACCCGTGCGCCCGTGCTGAAGGAGTGTTCCTGCCGCTTCCACATCACGCTCGTGGATGACGAGCACCGGCTGGAGATGATGCAAATGTTTCTGCGGCTTGCCTTGCAGTCGTGCTGCATGGAAGGGAGCATGTATTGAAACCTCCTCAGACCCACACCCTAAACACCTCTTTCAAAGCCCTTACGAACCCTAAAGCAAACCCTCAGACCCTCTGAAGACTTCAAAGTAGCAGCACAAAGCGGCATCTTGCATGACACCCAGGCTGCTCACAAAGGTCGTGGAAGCGATTCCAGGCCCATGCGCTTGGGGACATGCATGAGTGTTGAGGGTTTAGGGTTTCGTGATTAGGTTATAGGGTTAGGGCTTAGGGTTTAGGTCATAAGTCATAGAGTGCAGGATTTGCGGTTGAGGGTTGAGGGTCTAGGGTTCTTGGAATCAGCTCAGGGCATCGGTATCTGCCCTGCAGTACACTAACATACATACATGCATGCATACATGCATTCATACATACATGCATGCGCAAATACATGTACAAGATTTGCTATGAATATAGATATGTTTATATATATATATCTCTCTCTCTCTCTATATATATATGCATTTATGAAAGCATGCACCCTGATCCACCCAAGCTATCTATGCATCTATCTACCTATCTACGTATATATGTTTCTACCTATGTGTCTATCAGTCTATCTGTCCATCTGTCTATACGTCTATTTGTACAAAAATTTATCTGTTATCCATCAATGACTCTGTCGTTCTACCTGTGTACCTAGCTACCTACCTATCTATGTACCTATCTATCTTTTTATCTCTCTGTCTGTTTGCCTTTCTATCGACCTGTTTACCCATCTATCCATCCCATATAGTATTATATAGATTACTTACGCATGCATATACTATATACCTCGATGGGACTTTGTAGCAGTACGGACCTCTCGAAAGGGTGATTTTTGCCCACACTTCCATGTGCAATTTCCGGTAGAAGACGGCTTTCTGATCTGCCGTTAGGGTTCAGGGTTTTGGATCTCGGGGCTTGGGGCTTCGGGTTTAGGGTTTGGGGTCTAGGGGTTTAGGGTTTAGGGGGGTCTTGGGTTTAGGGTGTAGGGCACTGCAAATGGAAGAGTTCTTTCAGGCTACGACTCCGTCGTCCTGAATGAGAACGTGCGAGAGTTCTTCCTCGTGTGGGTGGAGAGCACGAAGAAGATTGCTGCTTTCCTGAGTCGTCGGAGCATTGTAAATGAGTAGAAACCAATCGACCTTTATATTATTTGTCTAATTCGACTACAACATACCCCAGGTCCTTGTTGTAATTATGAAGGGCTCTGTATTAGTTGTCGTCATGTCGCGCTGTGCGCTCTGCTCAGGACATCAGCCAACTGCGGGAGAACGCCCTGACGGGGCTGGAGAAGGAGAGCCGAGCTCCCCAAACCCCACCATAGGGGCCTAATAATTGCCTATACTGTTTGCTACTAGCCGGGCGCGTACCTTGGTTTTCACAAAAAAGAGGTTTCTGGTGTTTAAAAGCGAGTTTTTCACCGACATCGGGTGTATACCGTAAGACTCGGTGGTAAAGTTGAAACAGGTAGGCCCCGCACCCGGCATAGGTGTGTTTGGTAAGTCTTTAGTGCCGTGTCATTGGCCAGTTGTTTGGGTTTCAGGGGTTAGAGTTTAAGAAATGTGCCCAGCACCCACGGGCGTCTTAAATACTCGGCGGTCTTTCAGAGCCGAAGAACAGGTAATTCGGTAGGATCGTAATAAAGAAGCAGTACGAAGGCTTTGTCAGAGCAGAACTTGTGTGGAGTCTGTAAGGACTCCGAGTAACGTGGAAATTGCAAGGAAACCGGCGCCTGCGAACGATTTCGACGGGGGTTCCTTATTATATTTATGGTATAATGGGCCCCAAAACCACAGTCTAATTACAAAGGCCCCGATATTCAACCCCAACCCCTCAAATCCTAAACCCAAACTCCGAAACCGCTAAGGATTCTAAGTACCCTCAGGGCACCAAGGACCTTAAACCCGGCTCTGGCACAACAGCCGATCGTGGTAGCTTAAGAGCTCATTAGGGTTGTGAGGGCAAAGACAGGGTTTAGTTTAGGGTTTAGGGGTTTATGGTTTAGGGTTTTAGGGTTTAGTGGTTTAGGGGTTTAGGGTTTTAGGGTGTAGTGGTTTAGGGTTTAGGGTTTAGGGTTTAGTGTTTGCGGAGTAAGAAAAGAGGAAGGCGCAGGGAAGTTGTGGCACGCCAATCCTCGCCAGGAGACTGCAGAGTGGCTGAGAGACTCGGCTGATCCAGCCATGGCTTAGGGTTTAGGGCTTCGTGTTTAGGGCTTCGGGTTTAGGGCTTAGGGTTTAGGGCTTCGGGTTCAAGGCTTAGGGTTTAGGGCTTGGGGTTTAAGGCTTAGGGTTTAGGGCTTAGATGGCTCTCTCTGTTTGGCCGGGGTGTTGTGACTTCTGGGTTTTGCACCTTCGCCTTAAATCCTAGGCCCTAGACCCTAGATTTGGCTTCGGGACAGGGCTCATAGTCTTTCGCTTGGGGCCCATGTTTTACGTTTGCCCCCTCCCCCCCAAGGCGCTTGCTTACCCTTGCCACCTGCCATGTATGATCTGATGTGGTTGTGTGTCATCATGTACTCCCATAGCTCCATAGCTCCACCTACTTCGTTTCAGAAACGCCTCTGGTGGTGTTTTCCGTATCCTCATCACTCTCATCCTTTTGTTTTTTAGTTTTCACACGTCACTTTACCAGTAGGCAGATTATGTGGTTTTACCTTCTTACATGGTCCCATTTTTGAATAGCTTCGCGTATGTTGCATACCAGTACAGCCGCATCAGTAGTATATGCAGCATGTCGCTGTCAGCGATCACGGTGCATTTTCGAGCGTGTTGGTCCGTGCGAGTTTTTTCCAACAGTTTTTGGTGGTCAAACATGCAAAAGAAGTTGTGGCATCTCGTGTTTATGCAGTCGTGGCAGTTGTAATGCAGACTTCACATTTCCATCGTCTATTGGTAAAGTTTGATGTCTAAGCAGCGTGCGAGCACACACACACATATGCACATGTAAGGACCATTATGAACACCGCTGTGCACATTTACGGGCATATATGTGAGAGAACGTTTCTTTTGGTGGGTTTGCATGTGTGTACAGGTACACGTATAATTACATACACACGTGCATGTTTCCATGTGCCGATGTATGTGGTTGCATACGACTGCCTTTTCTTCATGCGGGCACACACTGTTGAGCGATGACTTGTGAATGATGAAGCAACCTGTTCTTTTTGTATACCAGGGTTCCAAGATGCCCCTCCGCGGACGGACACTGCAGTATGAAAGCCATGAAGAAGACCCGAACAAGAATGCAAAACCAGATGAGCACCCTTCTGAGCCCTCTTTTCAAAGGCGTATGGCTGTTTTCTGAATTCCCCCAAAACCTAAACCCTAAAACCTCTATCATAGATACAAAAAACCCTAAAACCTCTACGCGATTCCAAAGAACTTCGATGGCTCCCGGGGTCCCCACAAGGTGGGCTCAGTACCTACCAGACCCTGCGGGAAAACAGCTGGGCCACGCTGGAGCCGAGAGGGAGGGAGGATGGCTTGAAGGTGTTTTGGAACGGATGTAACTCTAAATCCTAAACCCCACAGGGGTTCTGGCCCTAAACCCTGAACCCTAAACACTAAACAGCTGAATCAGGGCTTTGGGGTGCATGCCTGGTTTGAGTGCGGCCATTGGGGGGTGGCTTGGCGGTTTGGATGGGTTTACTTTACAGTGCAGTATTAGGGATGTGGATGTTGTTTCTTATCATTCATACCTCACTACTTCCTGCCTTCAGCCGCGGAAAGACAAGCTATCCGTCGTTCTTCCGAACTCCGGACTTGCAGAGGGCTTCGACACATGGTTACTACCTCCGCCCTTCACGGAGCTTACACTTCCGGGGGTCTGGGCAATTGGTTGCGGCTTGCCATCGCCCCTACGTATCGTCTCTATGTGGGTGGTTGTCAAAATTAAGGTCCCTTCTGGGTTCCCTATTATAATACGGCACCAACTATTTAGGGCACCCAAAAGAGAGACCTTCATTTCGACAACTACCCATGTAGCTGTACTACAATGAACCCCCGAGACCCTATTCGAAGTGAGAAGGCCCCAATAACACCCTTTTGAAACCCTATGCAGCACTTGTGCAACCGTATAAAGCCTTTGTGCAACGCTCGAAAAAGACATTTCCTATTTATCAGAAAAGCCCTGTATTGCGCAGTATGCTAAGAGCCACGCCCCGAACCTTAGTTGAGGTTTACGCTTTAGGGTTTCGATTAGAAGCTGTTAATCCTGTAATACTGACTGTAAGGATTATATTAGGGCCCTATGATGTTCCTATTACACCACTATTACAGGGTTGGGGCCCCTTCTAAGGTTTCGATTTTTTTTGGGGGTTTAGGGTCCCAGGTGCCAAGAAACTGCGCGCTTGAACCTCCAAGCTAAACCCTAAACCCTACAATCCTAAAGAAGGCCCCCCCGCCAAAGCCTAAACCTTCAACCCTAAACTCTAGACTCTAAACCTTAAACTCTAAACTCTAAACTCTAAACCCTAAACCCCTAAACTTCCTACACCTTCGACCCGAACCCCCGAACCCGAGGGACCGTACTCTGCAGACCCCAAAGCCCAAACGCCTAAACCCCCGAGCCCCTAATCGACCCCCCGAACTCCGAGAAGCTACGAGACCCCTCAAGGGAAGCTCTTTGGCTTTTTTGGAACACTTCTAGTAGACATTTCTAGAGGAGACCATAAAAGGCTAATGTTACGACCCTGCCCCAAAAAGACTCTAAACCCTAAACCGCCTAAACCCAAAGAGGGTCCGAAGATTGTCAGTTACATGTGGGTTGAGAGGGTACCTTCACTTATGATCCATATCAGGGGACTTATTAAAACTCCAGCTACCTCTACCCATGAACCTCCGATGACGTCGCAGGATGCACGGACCGTGGCCCCCCTCGAGGCAGCCGTGACGGCGCTGAATGAGGCTGAGGGCTTAGGACTTCTTCGGGCGCTTGTCCCAAGCTCTTAAGCTCTACACTCCCAAACCCTGTGCTATAGATCTCGTTAGCCGAGGGTCTAGGCCCCCAAAAGAAGTGTGTGAGGCGCTGCTATCCTCTGACACCGATGTCTTCACCATGCAACGAGACACGGCCGCGCTGCTGCAGTGGCGATGCCAAGCATTTCAAGTCAAGCTCATGTTTACTCCGACGATGATGGCCTGTTGCTGCTGTTTCTTGCGGTGGCAACTATGATGGTGATGGAAGCAAGCCAGCCTCGATGATGACGTTGTTGGTAGTTTTGTGGTGATGTTGTTGATGATGCGCGGTATGCCGCTTCTGCTGCTGCTTCTTATGATGATGAGAATCACCTCTACGATTTTGCGACGTATAGGTTGCCGTTTCCAGGGAATGCCAAATTCGCCGTTGTGCTGCAAGCCGGCGTACCAAGTAAGTATATGGCTCTCCAAGATGATAAGGGGGTCTTCAAAAGTATTTGGTCGCTGCTTGCATAATTCCTGGCCTTGCTTTTCACATACAGTGGTAGTGCGAAGCCCAAACCCCAAACCCTAAGCCCAACAATCGGACTCAGGATTTTCTTGGTGTAAAGCACTTCATACATAAACACGAAAGCTTTCGCTCGCATCTGCTAGCTGCGCCGACGCGCAACGCTGAATCGTTTAAGTTTCTTAGCAGAAGTGTGAGTGGCGCATGGCGGACTTAAAAAGCCCAACAATCCCTATCTCACACGTGAATCCCCAATAATACCGAAACCCTACATTTCAGACTCCCAGCAAACCTTAAACCCTCAAAGTTTACCCCTCCCTCCCCCCCCAAAGAGTCTCTGAAGCTGCAAAGCAGGTCGTAGATTGGGAGCCCAAGCAGCGGAACAGCCTGCCCCTGCGTCTCCACTACCTCGCCGGGCCCTTAGGACGCGCTCGCTGCCTCAGGGCCGAGATCCGTAGCCAAGTAGCTGTGCTTCGGACGTTTTGATCAGCATCTACCATAATGTTGGGACCTGATTATGTCACCTTGGGCCCTTAGTTGAGTTCCTTATAAAAATCCTCATATATTGGGGTTATAGGACCAGGGTTTCTTAATCAGATTCCTACATAAAACTTCTAGCCTCCTTTATTAGGGCACCTTATAAAAATCCTAGTAGAGGCCCTCAGCATCTACCATAGGATTCCCATGGGATTCAGAAGCAGCCGCTCTAGAACTGGGCCTGCCACGTGAAGTTTAGGGCCTGAAGGGGCGAAGCTCCAGCATGGTTTAGGCTCGAGGGCGATTGGAGGTTCGGGCTGGGTTTAGTGTATAATGTATACGTATATATATATATATATATATTATATATAGATATATATATTATATATATATATATATATGTGCATATATATATATATATATATATATATATATATAAATAAATAAATGTATAGAGAAATACAAAACTAATATATATATATATATAGATATATATTACATATATATATATATATATATATATATGCTACCCCCCCTAAGACCCGCAAGACCTAGTAAAAGATCCTGATAATTCACTCCAGCATTCCTACATGTGCTATCCACGCGTGTGCAAAATACCGTGTAGACAAGATAATCTAGTGAAGTATTGCTGTTATCTGCTTAATAACTAGAATTATAAATATTCTTATAAATATTTGTCCAATTTGATACAGCATTATTGTAATTAATGCTAGGAATTACGCAAAACACAATATAACCAAGATAATCCAGTGAAGTATTGTTTTGTTGTCTGCCCTGGAGCAAAAAATGTAAATATTCTTATAAGATTTTAGACAATTTGATACAGTACTAGTACAACTGCTATTAGGAATTAATATTCAATTTTCCCCTTCCTCACTGCCATATGATAAGAACTGATTGCTTCGTTGGAAGTTCCGTAAAACATATTTCCTCAATTATTGTTTGTATGAGCCAGCCAAACAGGAACAGATAACCAAACAAGCTCCGGAGAAAACATCGAAAAGGAAAAGGAGTGTTTCTAATTGGCACACAGACATACAAATCTCAATTCCTATCGTAAGCCCTAAGCCCTAGAGACACTAGACCCTAAACCTTGAACCCTAAGCCCTAAGCCCTAGTCCCGAAGCCCTGGGTGTAGGTTCCAGGTCCCCTTGAACGAACCTAGCTGTTGATTAACTGACTCATTGCACAATATGACATGATTTGGATGAGAAGCCTGCTGTCTTCTAGAACCATTGACTAGCTAATTTCCCTACATCGGCTTAATCGTTTCCCGTTGTAGGAAGTCACCCCTGAGAACTGAAATTCGTATGGGCCCGGCGTGCAGAACATTAAGCGGGATTTGGGTTCGGCCTGTTTTGCAGCCCACGGACCCTGAAATTCTACATGTCTGTGGCCTGCGGCCTGCAAGTCACCGCAGCACTACATTTTCGAAACCAAGGCTGCCCGTAATCCTCTAGCTCCCAGCATTACCTGCTCCCACATTATTACGAGTATTGGCGTCAGATATTACCATCGTTGCCAACGCTCAGAGCATATCGTTTAGCTTGAGTGGTGGTATGAGTACTAGCAATCCGTAGTAGATTTCCCTGCTGGCCACTGATATCACCAGTCCCTCGTCCTGGCTCGTAGTATTCAATGTATCCGTGATAATACGCGCAAAATCGCTGGCGTGCTACATGGGTTAGTTCAAGCAGGGGCCAAACAACTCGTTCAGTTTACTGTCATAACTTCCATCATAAACTAAATTAAGAAAGCACGGATATACCACTAACAAATATTGCCAGTAAGTTGCTTAGGTGACTGGTTAAATCAACGTTTTTGTGTATACATACTACTGTGACATACACTGTGTAAGCACCTGGAATTAGCTAATTATCTACATTACCATGGTCTGGTCATGTTTCAATCACGGGACAAGTGCATCCATTCACCAACCCATATGTTTTCAATTGCTTGCCTCTGGCATAGGGCTGTCAGAATGCAAAAGGTGAATAACAATTACCCGGCTTGGCAGCAAGTAGACTAAATATGTGCGTAAACCGTTTGAAATGGCTAGCTCCTTATCTTGATATAAGCAGAAAATCTAACCGACATGCATTTAGATACGCCCGCATGCATTTTAGAGGCTTCATTTTGGCAATGATAGTGGGTTCCTATACATGAGTTGGACTGATGAGTGGCCAAAAGACAACTAGTCTGGCACGTGACAAATGAAAATGAAGATATTATAAGCAGAACACTATAGAATGGGATGTTTACTTAGTATTTCAAGTATGTAATCTGATTAACCACAGGCATGGAGAAGCAACAAAAAGCTTTCACATAGGTTAACTTTTTGAATGATGCCGTTATTTGGATTTATGTTGAAAAGAAGCAAACAGGGTCTTTACACACACCGGAACAACAAATATTTCCTGCCTTGGCACTACCAGATTCCTTTATGCGCACATGTATCAGCCTCTGTGCTTGAGAAAGAAACGAAATCTGGATGTCATGATGTTTCACAGGTTGTGATGTTTGGACACGAGTGTGAACGCCTTCGCATATGAAACATATACTAAAATATAGTTTTTGATAATATGTTGCAGATTCGCAGATTCGCAGATTCGCGGATTCGCGAATTCGCAGATTCCCAGATTCGCAGATTCGCAGATTCGCAGATTTGACAGACCATAGGTTGTGGCGCATATATAGAATCTGCGAATCTGCGAATCTGCGAATCTGCGAATTTGCGAATCCGCGAATCTGCGAATCTGCGAATCTGCGAATCTGCGAATCTGCGAATCTGCGAATCTGCGAATCTGCGAATCTGCGAATCCGCGAATCTGCGAATCTGCGAATCTGCGAATCTGCGAATTCGCGAATCCGCAAATCCGCTGAAGTATCCGTCACAGCGAGGCCCTTTGAGCATCAGATACTTACACGTCGCATCGCGAATCCCTCAAATTGAGAAGCCTTGAAAGACCCTGAACGTTATTGCAGCTGCATCCATGCCCCGATGAAGTTGGGCAAGTCGAGAGTACCTGACAGCGAAGCGTGTTTTTTTTTGGGGGTACCATATATATATATATGTGTGCATGCATAGATATATATACATATATATATAACGATATATATATATATATATATAACGATATATATATATATATATATATAACGATATATAACGATATATATATATATATATATATAAAGATATATATAAATATATATATATATATATATAACGATATATAACGATATATAACGATATATATATATATATATATATATATATAACGATATATATATATATATAACGATATATATATATATATATATGTATATATGTATATATGTATATTTACGTGCATGTAAATATGGGTGTGTAGGGTGAACGGTTCAGGATGGTTCTGATTCCGGCTTTCTCCGGTTCTTCTCGGAAGTCCGAAGCCTCAATCCCAAGCCTAAGTGGAGCCTCAAGCAAAATGAGCCACTCAAACCTGCAAGGGTTCAGGGTTTAGGGTTTAGGGGTTCAGGGTTTAGGGTTTAGGGGGCAATCGAGGACCTCAAAACTCCACTAAATATCAGGACTTTGGGCACTAAACCCTAAACCCGAACCCCAGAAAACAACAGCACGACAGCCTCCGACCGGAAGGCCAGAGCCAAGCCGTCTGAAGACGAGAGAACGGCCCCTCGACCGTTTGGGAACCCTTCGGTTTAGGGTTTTTTGGGACCCTCGGTTTAGGGTTTAGGGTTTAGGATTATTTTAGGTTGGGGACCCGTCGGTTTAGGGTCGAACAGCCTGATCGTGTTTTAGGGGCCAAGCGACAGCGGCATGCGGGGTTCTGATCCGGGCGTCGTGACAGAGGGTTTGAGCGTCCCTTGGCGGGGCAAGGCCTCTGAGCCTTGATACTCGGCTGTTGCGGGGTTCGGATGATTTGGTCTGTCTGTCTGTCTGTCCGTCTGCCTGTCTGTCTCGTTGCTTTCACTGCGAATCTTGTTGGCGGCACGTCGAAGGCATTAAAGAGTGAGCACTCAAGCCATTGTACAAGTGTTCCAAACATCCGAAGTGCTAAACCTCGTGTAGTTTGGGACAGTATGCATCTAACTCTGACCCAGAAGCTCAAATCCCTGTGGCCTTCGGGGACAGGTGAAGACGCAGCACGTCGCTCCGGGCATCTACTATTACAAGGCTCCTCTCACTGCTGCCTTTTTGTGCGAGACGACCGCAGCAACAACTACTCCTGCCCCTACCCCCAGTCATAGTCCTAGTCCCAGTCGACCGGTACTCCTACTCCTACTTCTACTCCTGCTCCTCCTACTCTACGGCTACTCCTCCTGCTGCGGCTGCTGCCACAATATGGCTACTGCTACTGTTGCTGCTGCTGCTGCGACTGCGACTGCCACTTCTTCTGCCACTTCTTCTGCTACTGCTACTGCTACTGCTACTGCTACTGCTGCTACTGTCACTTCTTCTGCTACTGCTACTGCCGCTACCATTGGTTAGACCTATTTTGATGTCTCC